GGCATATATATATATATATATATATATATATATATATATATATTTTTTTTTTTTTTTTGGCCGTGCTAGGGATTGAACCTTGTGCATGCCATGCAACTACCAACTGAGCTATATCCCCAGCCCCCCATGCACATAGAGATTTAATCAGCATCTTTTGTCCCCTAATTTAATTTATTGTTGTAAGAACACAACCTGTGATCTTCCCTTGTAACCCATTTTTAAGTGTCTAATATAACATTGCTCCTTATAAGCCCAAAGTTCAACAGATCTCTAGAACTTACTCATCTTGCATAACTGAATTTTATACTGTTAACAACTCTTTCTTTCTGTTGCAACCCCTTACCCCAGTCACTGGCAACCACCATTGCACTGTCTGCTTCTATGTGTTTGACTACTTTAAATTCCTAGCATAAGTGGAATCATGCAATGTTTGTCTTTCTGTGACTGGGCTTATTTCACATAGCCTAATATACTCCAGGTTCATCCATGTTAACCTCTAGTTCCTTGTCCTATGTGTGGTGTATATGAGTGTCTATGTATAGACAAGGGCATAAATCTGGCTGGATTTAAGGAAATAGAGTTCTTAAAATGGATGATGTTGATTCTGAATCTGATTGCCCTATTTTCATCCAAAGACTTCTGGTTTATTATTTCCAGAGTATAAACTTCCAGAGGAAAATCTAAAATGTTTACTTTTCATTGTATGTGTTAGAAGAGGTGGAAAAATCCATTAAAATGCAAAGTTTAGAAGACTTGAATGTAAAATGAATGTGCATCAATAGAGACAATGTTAAATAAGTTGTGGTAAAGCCATATCATGACATACTATATAATCCATAAAATAATGATTTAGATAAATATATGTTGTATAGAAAATGGTCATAATAAATGGCTGAATGAAATAACATGGGCTATAAAATAAAATATTGCATATGTGTAATGTGTAATGTTTTTATTAAAACAAAACCCCCAAATCTCCTCATTGTATAATTTCCATCTTTATAAATATTTCAGTTGTAAGACAAAGGATGTGTTAATAAGATAAACCAGGAAATCAAGCTCTTTAAAAATAAAACTAAGTTGTCTTTTTTTTTTTAGGAAAAAAAACTTGTCTCATCTAATGACAAGAAAATGGTTTTCCCAATCATTCTGATTCTTTGTTTTCTCTTTCTTTTTCTTTAGTCTGTGTGGATCACAGATGCTTTTGCCACAACTATTTGCCAAATTAGGAAGTGCAGTGTAAGCCCCTATGACACCAGTCCACCCAGTACCTGCACTGATGCTGAAGGAACAAGGGAACTGAAGGACCCTGGGGCCAGCAGGTATAAACAATGAAGAGTGAAAGTGAGCATCCTGCAAACATCTTTGGAAAAAAAAATTTTTTTTTGTTTGTTTTATTTTGAGCCTCAGAAGGAATGTTTCTAGTGTTCTTCATCAAGTATAAAAATAGTTGTTGATTTAAGATTACTGTGTATTTTTATCATTTTAATAAAGTGTCTTGTAATTCTGGTTTTAAAAAGAGTTTCTATTTTAAAATGTTTACTAAAGAAGCAAAATAAAACAGTCAAAATCATATAGGGTTTTTTTTGTGTGTGTGTGGGTGGTACTAGGGATTGAACCTAGGGCCTTTTGCATGTAAGGCAAGCACTTTACCAAATAAGCTATATCCCAGGCCCAAGTAATTTTTTAAATCATCCCCTATGAAAGGATACTCCCAGAGTCCATGCAAAGTCCAAAGACCTGGCCACACACCGGAATCCCACGCAAGAGATTTATTGTTGGTAACATGAGATATACCGACAAGGCTGTACTTCTGAGGAGAGAAGCAGCCTGTCAGCACTCATAGAGCAGCTTTATAGGCCCCAAGAGGAATCTCATAAACTGCTTAGGAGTTTAAGCTGGGGTGGGGTTGACAGCAGGCACCTGTTCTTAGGGGAGTTAAGCAGCTTTGCCTCAGAATTGAAACTTTGGAAACTCTAGATAAAAATGGCAAATCTGATGCCAATATTGATTTGATGTCAATACCCTACATTAGCATTTAGGTGGTTTCAGTTAATTAACTCACTCTTATTGTAATAGTGATCCACTTTATGCTTTGAATATAGATAGCCCTTGCTGCTCTACCACTGCAATTTATTTTTGAAAAGGACCTTTCTTTCTCTTCTCTTTCCCTGCTCCTCCTAATCTCTCCTTCTCCCTAATCTCAGGGGAAACAGGATTACCTTTCTTCCCCATTTTAGGCAGATTTATCTGCCCTGGAATACACAGCCACTAGAGAAATGAAGTAATCCAGAGTTTTGGGATGGCACCTGAAGATCTCAGAAATGACTGTCTCCCAAATTAACAAGTGAATTAGAATTCCATCAGAGAACACATGAAATGTTGAATCACTTCTTTAAAAGCACCCCGCCCCCGCAGCCCCTGTTCTTGCTGATGCACAGAATTACAGTCTCTGAGACAGGAGTCCCCTGTGTTTCTCCTTTGCTAGCAAGCAGTAAATTTCTTTTTCCTTTTTCTTAAAACCTATCCTGGTTATTGGATTGGCATCAGGGACAAGGACCGAGGTTTCAGTAACATTATAAGTAATGTTGGTATGGAAAACCCTGTACATGAATCCACTTGGGAAAATGTGCAATGAGCACTGAAGAACAGTATGTAACTGCAGAAGGAATCAGGCCCCAGCGTGGAGTAATTTTTATATTAAGTCTGGAAAAGTTTGACTCTTGACTCAAGAGATTATTGACTGTAGCACAATATAAACATTTTAAGTAGGGACAAGACATACCCAGTCAACAAAGCTTTCCAAAGTTCTCATCCAGTGAGACCTCCTTCAGAAACCCTAGCAAGGAAAAGGTGCCCAGAGATGAGCCCTTGTTAACATTAAAGGCAGCTCAGAAAGGCACTGACCCAAAGCAGTCAGCAGAGGCAGCAAGGCTGAAAACAAACAGGGAGCTTGTTTATTGGCAGGAGTAGAGTGGAAGTGAGAAAGGAAATCCCTGAGCATGTTTATAAAGTCTTACTGGGTACTCAAATAGGAACAGAACATAATTTCTAATGGATGAACCAAAGTAAATACTTTCTATCCATTGCACTTTTTGTGTAGCAACCTAACATGTGGAAAGAGGTTGATGGTGACAATTTTTGGAAGCTTGAAGTTTAGATTTGTAGGAATAGTAAGTGCTTCACCCTAATTCTAGTAGTTTTTATATTTCTCTATAGATTTAAATGTAATCCCTCTGTTTTTAGCTATTGGCCTACAATACTGTTTTTGAAGTAGCCAAGGATGAGAGTTCCATAAACATGGTGGTGGCTGGAATTGGCCTACAGGTAGGATCTCATCTAATGTGCATGAACTAAGTGGAAATTTTTATATTAAGTCTGGAAAAGTTTGACTCTTGACTCAAGAGATTATTGACTGTAGCACAGTATAAACATTTTAAGTAGGGACAAAACATACCCAGTCAACAATCTTTGTTGACTAAACTTGATTTATTACATTAAAAAGAGTAATGAATTAGTGAACTGGAGGAAGTTTTAAGATGAATTTATGCTAGAGAGGGAGAGTGAAATCAGAATACTAGGAGAAAGTGTAACAGTGATTCACTTTATGCTTTGAATATCACCCTTGCTACTCTGCCACTGTGACCTATTCTTTTTTAAAAAAATATGTTTCACAGGGCCCAGTAGAGTTCAAAGCCAGCCTCAGCAAAAGCAAGGCACTAAGCAACTCAGTGAGACCCTGCCTCTAAATAAAATACAAAATAGGAATGGGGATATGGCTCAGTGGTTGTGTACCCTGAGTTCATTCCTCAGTAGCCAGTAGCCACACACCCCCGCCACTCCACCCCCCCCCCCCAAAAAAAGGGATATGTTTCTATTTCTCTGGCCTTCCTCCTCCTTAATCTCTCCTCCTTTTTAATCTTGGGGAAAACAGGATTACCTTTCTTCCCCATCCTGGGCAGGATTATATGTCTCTGAGTACACACCACCACAGGAATGAAGTAATTAGACTTGGGGATGGCACCAGAAGTCCTCTCCGAAATGACTCTCTCACAAATTAACAAGTGAATTACAACTCAGGACAGAGAACTTGTGAAATGTAGCCTTTGAATCACCTCTTTAAAAGCTCCCTGTTCCCCCGGATGGGCAGAATCACAGCCTCTGGAACAGTAGCCCTGTGTTTCTCCTTTGCTAGCAAAGCAATAAAACTTCTTTTTCCTTTTTCTCAGAACTGTGTCCTTGTTATTGGATTGATATTGGGAACAAGGACCAAGCTTTCAAGAACAATAGAACTTCTTCTCAGCTGCTTTCTCAAGGCAGTCCCCACCCCCATCCTGCCACCCCTGCCCAGTCTCACTAGAGGGAGCTTTCCAAAGTTCTCATCCAATGAGACCTCCTTCAGTTGTGTGCATGTCCAAAAAGCTTTGAGAGATGGAGATGAACCAGAAACCAGATGGGGTATGGTGTCCTGTCCAACATTGGACTACCCTGACCCCCCATCTCCCAGGATGCCCACCATGGGCTTAATAGGGCGAGGTCAGTCCCACATGGGAGACAGGTTAGGGCAAGTCATCCGCCATGTGACTCCATCTGCTTATGCATGATAGGGTTTGGACTGCTGTCCCTTGTATGGGCATTGCAGACTCTCATGGCCATAGGAGTTTGTCGCTATCCAGGCGTATCCTGCCACCTGGGCCTCCATCTCCTCTGAACTTTCCAGAGCCCTGTGCCAAGCCCTCGCGTGGTGCCAGCACCTCCTTTCCCTCTGTCCATCTTCCCTGGAGAAGCCTGAGCCAAGTGTGATTCTGGAAGCTTTTTAGCACTACCACTGGGCTCAGCCCGTCACTTCCTTTCTCTACTACAGCAAACACGATCTCCACCATCTTAGCCTAGAGAATCAGCCTGAGGGGGCTGGGAGAAAAAATTGACATAGTGAGCAAAGAACAGCTTCTAGCCAGAAACCCCTGCTCTGAGAGCCCATCTTTCTTCATCTTTCCCATTGATGGCTTTAGGCTTGACCCTTCTGTATCCAATGGGGGCAGAATTCTACAAGCACAATTCACTGATCTTTTCCTCAGTTTTACATGCTAATAATGGATGTTAATCTTGAATCTTTCAGCATCTCTTCCATTGAATTAGAATTGCTTTCTCATAGATGTTCAGTATACTAAAGCAAACCAAAACAAAACAAAACAAAAAACAAGAACTTCTTAAATTAGGGGATAAGGAAAGGATTAGTATAAGTAACAATGGATATGTATAAAATGAAAAGTCAGCAAAATCCAAATATCAAAAAATTATTAAAGAATAAATTTAGTACAAATATATAAAGATTTTTATGAAATTATTTAGCATGATAAATGAATGGGAAATTATGTAATGTTGTGCTAGAAGGGATAATAAATGTATATACTATACAGTGTGATTTCAAATACTAAAGTAAAATAGCATAGAAAAGAAGAATAAAGCCAGGTGGGGTGGTACACTCCTGTAATCCCAGAGGCTCAGAAGGCTGAGGCAGGAAGATTGCGAGTTCAAAGCCAGACTCAGCAATTTAGTGAGGCACTAAGCAACTCAGTGACAACCTGTTTCAAAATTAAAAACAAAACAAAACTTTTAAAGGGCTGGGGATGTGGCTCAGTGGTTAAGTGCCTCTAAATCAATCCCCACAAGATTTTAATTTCCAGTTTTCTTTATTAGTTTTTCTATATTGCATATATATTACTTTGAAAATTTAGGGGGAGGGAAAGAATTTATCCCTTTAAATTTCTTTCTTTTTTAAAAAAAATTATTTTATTTTATTTTTTTGTACCAGGGATTGAACCCAGGGACACTTAACCACTGAGCCACATCCCCAACCTTTTGATTTTTATTTTGAGGAAAGAGCTCGCTAAGTCACTTAAGGCTTCACTAAATTGCTAAAGCTAGCTTTGAATTTGTGATCATCATGCCTCAGTCTCCTGAGCTCTGGGATTACAGAGCTCTCTTAACAACAACAATAAATATCCTGGCTCCTATTTACTATTTTGTAAACAAATTCTGTAGGAATGATGAGCTTTACTAAGACCAGTATGAAAATGATTGTCTCCAAGTCAATAACTTCTTATCTATGTCACTCATTTACTGACAATTGTCTATTCCTGGATTTATTTCTATTTTTAAGTGGATTAGCACATTAAACTTTAGTGAAGGTTAGGTTTACAATGTTTATCTTGAAATAAATACACAATAAATTTGCTTTTGTTTTATTTTTATTTCACTGAGTTGCTTAGTGCCTCACTCATTTAATAGAATAACCCAATTCTATTGAATTAGAAACCCAGTTTATTCCAATTGTGAAAACTAAAAATAAGCATAAGATATTCCTTCATTGTTTGCAGGTATTTAGCAAAATATCAATAGTCTTTCATGACTTTAGATGACTATGTAAACATATTACAGACTAATATACTTCCCCTCCATCCATACATCTGAAATCAAGAAACAACTTGGGTTTCTTCAGTGTTCTTCAAACATAAAGAGAAAGAGGTTTCTTCCCAGTGGAAAATTATACTCATTTCATCCTAGAGTGAAAAAGAATATGTGAACAAATAAGTAAGTGTTTTAGTTTGGAAGATGCTCTTTAATACCAACCCCACTTTAATCTAAGTTTGAATTAATATTCCCAGTGATATTTCATTAGGTGGAGTAGAATGTAAAAGCCACACCCTTGTGTTCTCCTTAACTATAAAAACCTTTACTGAGTCTTTCAGACCCTCACAACAGGAGCATGGTTTCCAGACAATTAGCTTTGGCATCACCTGGGAAATTTTAAATGCAGAATCTCCGACTCAACCTCCTGGATCAGAATCTGAATTTTAGTAAGATACTCATGTGATTCACAGGCATATTGAAGCTTAGCATTGGGCTAGACAATGGTTTGTTTGTTTGTTATATGATATAGGATAAGAAGGAAATGATCAAAGTAAATCAATGAAGTCTGTTAGTGAGATAAAAGCACAATAGTTTGGGGTTCTAATTCAGGATGTTTCCAAAAACATGCATTAGAATTACAACTGGGTGATCATGACTCTAAATTTAAACTTTAAATGATGTGTATTAGATGTTGGAAGAGTCACAACTGTTATGATCACGTTGCTCATGAGAAAGGGGAAAAAAGCATAAGAGGAAAAGAAAGTGACAGTAAGTTTTAGTTGAATTTTCTAAATGAAACATGGGAGTTCCTGGACATATTGAAACCCTCAAAGTGTCATTTCCAAGCTGTGTATAAAATATATACAACTTTTCATAATTCACACACTGAAGACAATAGTTTTCCCTTGCCCCTCCTCCATTGTTTGCCTAAGAAAATCATATGCTTTTGTGGAGGGGGAACATGTATATGGGTTTCCAGCAAAAAGATCCTGAACATAAAGTAGACATTCAACATACACTTTCTTTTTCTTTTTTTTCCAATGTACATTTTCTGGTTTTCATTGGTCATTCTGGTGACAAATAGCAATTGAGAACCTACTGTGCCAGGTACCATGCTAAGAGCCAAAGACACAGTGGTGAGGAGACACAGTCCCAGTCTTTGTGGATCTCTTGATTACAGGCAATTGTCTGTGGAATGTTTCATATAAATTTCTCTGCATAGCTCTTTTTTTTTTTGATTGATAATGAGAAATGTCTGATTCTTAGTTATCTGTATGATTGACGTAATTGGACCAGTTGTGACTGTCTCATAGACAGTAGCAGTAGATATCATCATATGGCAGAGATGAAATTAAACCTGTCAGAAACAATTACATCTGATCTTTGTAATGGCTAGATATGGGCTAGGGAGAGATGGCCAAGGCTGCTAGGAAAGTAGCATGAATAAGTGGCAACAAGTACAGGAAGGAGCCAGGAACACTTCTCTCCTAAATTGTACAGATGAAAGCAATACAATTATGGTCCAAATGTAACACATTTTTGTTATTTGACTCCAGTTGATGAATTGGATAATTATTAGACGTATATGTCTTCAGATAAAGGTAATTTATTCTTCAGTCTTATAATATGCATTTTGGAAACTATCCATCTTTAAAATAAATAGCTTTGTGAGTTTTCTTGGAATGATGAATTTGCCCACTATAAATGGGACCTGACATATTGAGTGGAAAGTTGAGATAAATAGCCCCTGATAGACAAGTGACCCAGATTAGGCTTGAACCAACCATTACTCCAGGTCAATGATATCTTTGTGGATCCTGAGTGCAGTTGACTCCCAGATTTCTCACTCTGCTTTTCCAGAGCCCAGGCTCGGTGCCTATTTAACACAACCCTATGACTAATTCGGCCCTTCTTGCCTGGTGACTAGATTCTTTACCATGACTCATGGTCTGGTGGTTAAGGGTATAGTCTTGAAAGCTGGATGGATACAGGTTTAGTTTGGGCTCCACGGCCTCCAACACATGGGCTCTTAGGTAATGTCATGTCTCTATGCCTCAGTTTTCTTCCCTAGAAGAGAGATTATAATTCTCAACTTGTGTAATCATGGGGTTCTATAACTATGTAAAACATGTATTGCCATGCTTGGCCCATGCAAATAATGGCTACTTTATTATTAAACCCAATTTAATAATAAAGTAGTTTAAACCCATTACTGGCTCCTGCTTGCTACACAAATCCCCTTAGTAACACTTTTTTTTTTTTAACAGTGTGGTTCAGTTTCTTAGTGTCTGTGTTTTCCTTTATTGAATTCATATCCCAGAGGTTGCATCCCTGGCCTCCTGCTCTCTGGCACTTCTGCACTCCCATTTCACTCAGGTTTAATAGACACACTAGCTCCCGGGGAGTGTCTGGCTCAAGGCTATAGCAGTGTCCAGTGGTTGAAAGCCTGGCCTCTGAAAACAGGCCACCTGGTTCATATCCCAGCACTTCTACTGACTAGCTGAGTGGCACTGGGTAAATTATTCTACCTCTCTGATCCTGTTTCCTCAATTGTTAAATAAATCATAACCATTTCCTGTGATTGTTGTAAACAGGAAATATATATTATATATGTTAAGAATCTAGAATAAACAGTGCTATTTAACATTTGCAATTATGATTTATATCCTGGACAAATGTATCCTTGGCTTTTACCTATTTCTTTCCTTTTCCCCAGGTCACCTCCAGGCTGTAGACTGATCTTCAGGACTCATATACCCAGCTGCATGTCTCTACATTATCTGGACACTGTGCTCCCATGTCAAGCCCTCTGCCTTTCCCACATTCTGCCACAATTGTTCCTGGCAAACATTGGCTATGACAGTGAGGGAAACAGCAATAATTTGCTTAAAGTTTCTGTTTGTTCACTGGACCCAGGCTGGTGGCTGCTACCTGGAAAAGGTGAAACTAAAGGAGCCAAGCAAAATACTTGCCTTGTTCTTCCTTAATCCCTCATCTCCCTTGTTCTTCCTTAATCCCTCATCTCCCTTCCCTCATTTCCACTGGTAAACAGAGACCATCCATCCAGAAGAAAAGACAGAGCAAAATTCCTCCTCTCTGAAGCTGACTATGTGCTAGAAAGTCTTCTGTGGATAGGAAATTGAGGAGGAAAAAAAAAAAAAGTCAGCAGTGTAAGTCTGAGTAGAAACTTCTATTGTATCCCTGGGGGGACATTGGTTAACTGAACTGTTACCATTTTGAGTTCTTCAATGATGGAACAGGGCAAAACAATAAGTAACTATAGAGAAAGACAGGGGCAGGTTGAGTTTTGATTGAGATCTTTAAACAAAGTATATACCACTGGTTTGTAAACTGCGCAGTACCCTTAGGGTGTCTGTGGAAGTCAAGGGTGTCAGAGTCTTACTTCTCAGTCCTCCGTGCCTTGAATAGTATTTGGCTTGTGGCAGTAAACTGTTTCTGCTAGGCAGTCCCGGCTTCAAGCACCCCATAGGGAGATTCCTTTTAATGCTCCAGATCCCTTCCAGGACCACTGTCAATATTTTCAAAAGCAAGATGATGATCATTAGCATATTCTCTTTTTAACACAAGTGTTTCTAAAGTATTTACTTGATGATTATTTATTTTTAGTTATTTGGGTGTAAGTTTTTGATTTAATTAATCAAACTCCCCAAGGTCTTTATTCCATTTCATGCATTCAGTTATCCCCCATGCAACTAAACCTCTATAATGCCCTTTTGTAATTTATCTTACACCTAAACAAATATATGAAAAGTCAGAATAGGGTTTTTTTTAAGTGTCTTGTGGATATACATGATGGTGAGATTCACAGTGGTATATGCATATATGTATATAGGAAAGTTAGGTTAGATTCATTCCTCTGTTCTTCCCTTATCTTGTCCCTTCTCCCTCCCCTCTTAGTCCCCTTCATTTAGTCCACCGTCTTCCTTCTATTTTGATGGAGTCCCCTCCCTGCCCTTATTTTGAACTAGCTTCTGCATGTCAGAGTAGAGGGAAGGGAACAGGGGAGGGAGGAGGAGAGAGAAAGCGGGTAATCCTGGGGACTGAATTATAGCAAATTATATTCTATACTTTCAAAATTATGTCAAAATGAATCCTAATGCTATGTATAGTTATAAAGAAACAGTAAAAAAAATTCCGAACAAGTCAGAATAGGAACTTGTATAACAAAACACAGAAAGAGCAGGAATAAAAGTTAACATATAGAGTGTATTCAGTCAGCCTTATCTGATTCTTTTTTAATTCCTGCAGCAGGTTAGAAATATTTCTACAGATAAGAAAAAAAAAACACATTAATTTATCCAATAGATGGAAGAATCTTCTAAAAACTATAAACTAGATGTTGTTTAATTTCCCATTTGAAAGAAGTAACAACAAAATCACCAGATCCTACATTTTTTAAAAAAATATACATATATTTAGTTGTAGGTATACATAATGCCTTTATTTTATTTATTTATTTTTATGTGGTGCTGAGGATTGAACCCAATGCCTCACATGTGCTAGGCAAGCACTCCAACCACTGAGCACAACCCAGCCCAGATCCTACATTTAAAACAACCATAGCAAAGTACTTGGAAAGTGATGTGTACACATTGGTACATGGCAAATTATAGGTCTTAAATCCTGGCACTATTCAGTAAGTTCTAGTAATGATTTTCTGTATCTGTTATGGTTTGGATCTGGAATGTTCCTCAACGGCTTGGTTCATAATGTATCAATGTCCAGAGGTCAGACTTGCCTAGTAGGTCACTGGGGGAGTGCCCTTGGGAACTATTATACCTTGTCCCACGCAACTCATCCCCCTGCTTCCTGGCTGCCAGGAGGTGAGCAGCTATCCTCCACCACAATGTTCTACCTCACCTCAGTTTCAGAGCAATGGAGCCAGTAGGCCATGGACTCAGAAGTCTAAAATAGCCCAAAATAAACCTTTTCTCCTTTAAGTTGTTTGTATCAGGTATTTTGGTCTTAGTGACAAAAAATCTGACTGACACAATATCCTACAATCACTTCTTTAAGTTTTGAGAGTCAATTAAAAAGCATTATGTGGACTTTAACTGTGCAGAAAACCACAATCCAAGTTAAGTAAGTTTCTGAATTCTGGTTCATTGCCATAAGTTGTTTTTCTGATTTCTGAGCCTACATTTTTTTTTTTTTAGTTATGGGTGAACACAATATCTTTGTTTTATTTTTATGTGGCACTGAGGATTGAACCCAGTGCCTCATGCATACTGGCCAAGTACTCTTCCTCTGAGCTACAGTCCCAGCCCTGAGCCTATAAATTTTAATGCTGAATTCTCCTCATGGATCCAGAGCTGCCTACTGGCATCCTCAATGACACTCAATCCTTCCCCAAGTGATTTTGTACCCAGTGATGACTAGGAGTACAGTCTTTGGGTTTAGAGGACAGCAAGATTTTAGTGTCAGCTCTCCCACCTCCAATTATGTGATTCTGGGCAAATTATTTAATCCATATGTCTCAATTTCCTTTCTTTTGGTACTGGGGATTGAACTCAGGGGCACTCGACTACTGAGCTACATCCCTATCCCTATTTTGTATTTTATTTAGAGACAGAGTCTCACTGAGTTGCTCAGTGCCTCACTTTTGATGAGGCTGGCTTTGAACTCTTGATCCTCCTGCCTCAGCCTCCTGGGCCACTGGGATTACAGGTGTATACTACTGCACCTGGCCCTTATTTATTTATTTGTGTATTTATTTATTTACTTTGTACTTGGGATTGAACTTAGGGGCACTCAACCACTGAGCCACACCTTCAGCCTATTTTGTATTTTACAGGCATTAGCTGTTTATTTATTCTTAATGAGGATAATAATATCTTCCTTGAAGGAATATTGTAGGATGTGGGAAAGGCAGGCATAAAGTGATCAGTACTTAATAAATGGTTGCTATTATTTTTACAGGGAAATGATTTTATTGTTCAAGCATGAGCTTATTAGGTTCACTTATAGCAGGAAATCACTGGCTGACTCATCGAGCTGAGCATCAATTCTTGCCTCTCTCAAGCTATCTATCAAGATTAGCTTCCTTCTTCCAGGGCCTTCAGAGAAGACTCCACGTTCTCTGTCAAGATCCTATATTAACTTAAATCTCCTCTGCCATTCAAGCCAGTTTCCTCATCTGTGTTGTCTAGAAATAGGAAAGAGCTATAATCCCCAGCCCCTGGTAATAGACTCAAATTCAGGTAACCACCAACATTTATTAAATACCTACTTGTGTATGACTTCCTGTAAGAGACCAGGGAAATAAATTTAGATTCATCTATATACTGTGGGAAGATCTGGCAAATGGAAAGTAGCTTAAAATCAGAAAGCAGATCTATGCTAAACAAGCACATCAAATGAAGTAAAGAATTTAGAGATTGGGAATTTAGTAGGGCTCTTTCCAGTGGAATCACAAGAATAGCTGAAGCTTATAATCAATAGAGAAAATATCTGAAAATATAAATGCAGATGCTAAGAAATTCATTAAAACCCTCAAAACAAAATATAGTTATACATAAGAATTTACTGTCCTGAGGGATAGAGGTTACTGGGAAAAAAATACTACTACTTTTATTTGGTCTGATGTTTGGGTGAGGAATTTCAGAAGGCAATATAGTCACTTGGGGAAAAAAGAAGCCTATTAAGAATCACAGATGGCTGGCCAGGTGACACATGCCTTTAATCCCAGCAGCTCGGGAGGCTGAGGCAGGAAGATCAAGAGTTCAAAGTCGGCTCTGCAAAGGTGTGGTACTAGTGAGACCCTGTCTCTAAATAAAATATAAAATAGGGTTGGGATGTGGCTCAGTGGTCGAGTGCCCCTGTGTTAATTTCCCAATACCAAAAAAAAAAAAAAAAGAATCACAGATGCCCTTTAAGGCAACCGCTTCTCTTATTAGAAACTGAACTTCTCAGCTCTGAGCATGTGCATTTCAGGAGGTGGAAGAAAGACACAGCAGGTCCTGCAAGACCTCTGTGCTGGCATCGTGGCCTGAAAAAGAAATGGGCAGCAGGGGAGAAATGAAGAATAAGAAATTGAGTCCTTTTCCTAGAACCTTCCAGAGATTCTTCTTTCTTCCCTCTCATGCACCCAACCCCTTATACCTGGACACCTTAAGTGTGTTTTTATTCTAACTTTAAAAATTATGAAACTATGCTTATGCCAAAAATTCTTGTCAGTGGGACCTAGCCTGGCCTCACAGGAAAAGTAAATTCACCCTTTAAAAATATTTTTTGTTCCTGTTAGCTCTCTCTGGACTGTGAATAATGAGCCTGAGAACTTAAAAAGCCAGTTTAGAGTCATATCTTCTATACTTCCCTTATATGAACATATTCAGAGATTTGACCAAAGGAAGAAAAATGCAAGTAATTTTAATTTGTGTTCAGTGACTCCTAGGCTCCACAATTACCCTTGTATATTATAGATGCATGAAAACACTTTTGTTGAATGAGATAATTAATATCCAACTGGTTTACCCTTGCTCAAACAACATTTTGCACTTTCTAAATTTGTACTAAGCGCAGTAAATAAACAAGACTCAAAGTTAATTTATCACGTATTAAGGCACAAAAAGACAAATATTAATGGACTTGGAAGTACACTTTGAAATTCATTGCAAAAAGAAATATTCTATAAGAGGAAAACTTTGATTGAGCTTCATTTATCAAATTTTCATGGCTAATATAACTTCTGCAGGTTTCAATTAGAAAGATAAAAAAGCCTTTGCTACATGAAAATATTGTTAACATATTAACTTCTTTTTACAAAGTCTTCCATAGAAGTTTGTGGAAACCAAAAGCTAAGTTTTCTCTTTTTAAAAAGTGGGGAGGGGAAATCTTCAGGGAATCACTAAGTTATGAATAATCACATTAGCTTCATTCTTCTTTATCCAACTGACTAGAAGGTATGATGAGGAAAGTGCATTTCTATTTTTCAGGATGATGAGAAACTTTATAATAGGTCCAGGCTCTCTGCCTATAATAGGTCTGATAGGAATTGGCAAACCTCTGGAAGCACAGGTTTGAACCTGAAGGCTAAACTGAAACAACCTAGAGAAGAATGGCAATTTACCTTCCCTCCCTCCCTCCTTCCCTCCCTCCCTCCCTCTCTCCCTTCCTTCTTTCTTTCCTTTCTTCCTTTCTTTCTTAAGATGACTCTATACTGCTAATAAAATTGTAGTTTCAATTTTTATTCCTCTCTGAAAACACAGTTTTATGCTTTAAAGGAAGACAGAATAACCCAATGGCTGACAGCAAGTTCTGCAGCTTCTGACAAGCCTGTGTTCAAGGACCAGCTATTCCACTTGCCAACTGTGTGACACAAGGTAAATCATGTATCCTTATGAACATCAGCTTCCAGATAAGCAAAATATGAATAAAAGAGCATATATTCACACAGTGTTGTTTCACTAATAAAAAGAGATAATTTGTAAAACAAAACAATAACAAAAAAGTCTGATACATGCAGAAGATACTTCTATAAATGATGGGAATTATTATTATCACCATTATCACTACCATAATCATCACCCTTCACCCCAGCATCCTGTGCTTCTCACTGTGCCCACAAATCTCTGCATCAGGAGCCTAGTGGGAATCAAAAGTCCAGAGAAGGGAAGCCTTAGAGTCCTGGCTACATACTTTTACCTGTTGAGGCATAAGGGTTGCAAATTGGAGACCAGCGTGGGCAAATTAGTAAGACCTTACCTCAAAATAACAATAAAAGGCTGGATGTTGTAGTTCAGTGATAGGATGCTGAGGTTGTCTTTGAACTCTTGATCCTCCTGCCTCAGCCTCCCGAGTCACTGGGATTACAGGCGTGTGCCACAACACCTGGCCAAATGTACTTATTCTTTTTTTTTCTAACCTGCATTTCATTTATTTATTTTTATGTGGTACTGAGGATTGAAACCAGTGCTTCACATGTGCTAGGCAAGTGCTCAACAACTGAGCTACAACCCCAACCCAAATTTACTTATTCTTTAAAAAAAAAAAAAAAAAATCTTTATTTTATTTATTTATTTATGTGGTGCGGAGGATCAAACCCAGTGCCTCACGCATGCAAGGCAAGTGCTCAACCATTGAGCTACAACCCCAGTCCCCCAAATGTATTTATTCTTGATATCCATAAATAGCAGCTATAAGAGCCACTGAAGTCCCTAAAAGTTTCATGCAGAATTCTGGGTGTGTGCGACAAGATGTGTCTTCCAGGAAGAAAAGCCATAGCTGTTATCAGGTATTGAAAGAGGGCATGTCACTGCAATGGCCAGATGGTCAAGTGACTGGCTCAGGGCTAGAGAGTGTGGCACCCTCCCTGGGTACTTGTTCTGTGTTCTGGCCAAGGATGTAGGGCTTCTAGCCCTTTTAAAAATTTATGTTTCTTTTCAATAAGTAGAACCTTTAAAACCTAAGCTTAAGGATCTATTCTTAGTTTTGAATGTTTTATAGGCTAACATAATACCTCCATGCAACTCCTGATAGATGTTATAAAAATGCAGCCCAAAAAGTCTTCATTTGTATGAACAATATTTGGAAAAAGGGCTTAGAAAAATGAATTTTTATAAATCAAACTATATTTTCTGTAAACCTAGATGGCCTCATAATAAAGCACATCCAATAAGAATAAGATAACAGACAACTAGTGTACAAATTAACTTTGTAGGTAGTCTTTGAAAACAAGATAAATCTAAAATATAATGTAGATTTTGAAAAATTAACCAGGGAGGAAATAATACATCTATGCTGCATTCACAGTAGAAATATTGTAGGTCATTCTGCATCCATTCACAAATGTCAAACTTTATATTCATTCATAGAATTAAAACTTCCTGAAACCATTGTAAGAGCAAATGTGGCCATTACATAGGTCTCTACTTCTGTAAGAATGGACAATAAAAGAAGGTCCCAAAGATGTTTCTATAGCTGGTTTAGAAACATAAAATGAGCCTATGCACGATGAAGTCTGAAATGGTAGGCTTCTGGACCTATAGCATCTGCTCTTAGGAATCCTGAGGGAATTGGGCCCCATCTGCAGGTTCAACAATTGTCCTAAAAAACATCAAGTTTTCTGAGCATGGGAGTCCTATCTTACAGTTCTTTTATTTTTATTTTTATTTTCCTAGCAATTGCTGGTACCCTACAGCATCATAATAAAAACCTGAGCATGGAATATGTATCTACTCACTGAGAAGGAGCCATGGAATGCAAAGTACTGGCAGTTTCAAAATAACATTTGTGGGCTAAGGTCCTGGGTTCAATAACAAGTACCAAAAAAAAAAGCATAAATTCTTGGGCTTATAGAGCATATCTATCCTCACATGAGCCATCAATGAGATGTTTTTGTGTCCAGACCATGTAAATACACACCTGTATTCGTGGCACAAAAACCCTTGAATGTTTTGACCTATTTGAGTGAACCAGAATTCTGCTGAGTCAAAGGTTGGAAAAATGGGGTCTCTAGACCCACAGTATCAACCTCATGTGGGAAGTTGGTAGAAAAAAAAATTGTTGGGCCCTATCTCAGACCTGTTGAGCCAGATCTCTTAGGCATGGGGACCAGAAGTCTACCTTTAATAAGCTCTCAAGTAATTCTGAGATAATCTAAAGTTTGGGAATTACTGTTATTGGTTATACCTGTGTTGATAAGACAGAAGATGTCATTGTGGTTTTCAAGCATTTGGGGAAAAATGCACTTCTCATTAAGTAGAAATAACTTCACCAAACATTGGGACAGCAAAGAAGTACATACCAGTACATTTTTTTCTAAACACAAAAGGTTTATTTGAACATCAGAAAAGTAATTATAGAGTAGTTTAAAAATTTCCCAAGAACCTATTTTCTTTTTGGTAGTTATAGTTTTGTAATAAATATAATAATCACCCTCTCATCAAATAGGCAATTTAATTTTCACTTCACAAATATACTTTGTTACTGAGATTACCTGAAGGTGGATTTTTAATGTGGCATTCATCTCTCTTAATATAAAGTTCTTCTTCCAGCACTTCCTTAATTCTCTTATGTGGCTCACAATATAAAAATTTCTTCCCTATAAAGGAATTGACAAAATTGATTAGTTATCATAATTCTTCCCAACCTTCTAGCCATTTCATCTACATGAATAATTTTTTAATATAAAGACCCATTCCATACAAATATCAGAAATTTGCCCTGCAGGCTCTCTCTCAGAGTGATCTCTCCATTGTAACTTTGTTCTTTGGGGACTTCACACTTTCATGTAATTCTGAACTTGTGGGATATTTTAGGTACATCCTTTGGATATTATGAAGAAGTATGTGGGATTTCTCATTCATTTCAAGAAACCTTTCACTCAATTTAGTCAATAGATTCTTACTAAAGACCTTCTATGCCAGGGCTGAGAGCAATGGATAAAATAGATGTGTGCATGGACCTTGAAAACCAGATGCAGAATGTAGAACAACCTCAGCATTTTAAATTTATAATTATATATTTATATGTAAATATATATATATATATATATATATTTAAATATATTTAATTTAAATTGACAGCAGAATGCATTACAATTTGTTACACATATAAAGCACAATTTTTCATATCTCTGGTTGTATACAAAGATCATTATTATACGAAGTACAGGTATGAAAACAGGAATTGGTGTGAACATACTTATATACAACCAGAGATATGAAAAATTATCATCATATTCCACCATCATTTCTAACCCCCTGCCCTCTCCCTTCCCCTCCAACCCCTCTGCCCTATCTAGAGTTCATCTATTCCTACCATGTTCCCTCTCCCTATCCTACTGTGAATCAGCCTCTTTATTGAATTTATAATTTTAAAAGATTAAACCTCTATCATTCTTACCTCTCTGTAGTAGCAACCGCTGATGGACATGTGACTTTTTTCTGTCCTCTAAATCTAGCTCTATAGGTCATTTTTACTACTCCAGTCCAGGACTGATATTTGTTCTTTCACCCCGGAGGATAGAACTCTAGGGAACAAAACAGCTCTGTGCTCTGCCCTGCCTCTCTCCAATCTCTTCATCAGCCTCTCTGTGTAGTTCTCTGAGCTCCAGCCAAGTCGCCCTTCTGTGCATTCTCACCTTTGTACCTGTTCTCTTCTCTTCCTGAATTGCCTTTCTCCTGATTTTTTTTCCTGCATAACTTCTACTCAAATTGTAAATCACATCTTTAATATCAGTTCCTCAGGGCAACTTTCCTTGACTCCACAAGCTAGAAATATTTTTTTCCTCATACTCTCCTCCTTTTTTCTTTCCTTTAAATGCAGTTTCATTTCATTTACATGCAAATATGTGTGTAGGTGTTAGTCTTCTCTCCTCCTCCTCCTCCTCCTCCTCCTCCTCCTCCTCCTCTTCCTCCTCCTCCTCTTCTTCTTCTTCTTCTTCTTTTCTCTCTCTCTCTCTCTCTCTCTCTCTCTGTTTTTATACTGGAGATTAAATGGGAGGGGGCACTCTATCACTTGGCTATATTCCCAGACCTTTTTATTTTGAGACAGGGACTTACTGCTGAGGTTGGCCTCAAACTGTCATCCTCCTGCTGCAGTCTCCTAAGTCACTGGGATTACAGGTGTATACCACCATACCTGGCTGATATCTGTCTTCTTAACCAGACTATTGAACACCATAAGGGTAGGGATATTGTCTGTTCAGTTTATCAGAGTCCTAGAAGAGGACTTGGCATATAACAAAGGTCTGAGTGATGTATGCTCAGGTAGAACCAACCATCATTAGATTTGATGGAACCCTAAGCAAAGACTATTCTATGTGCCTGCCTGACAACGCAACCTGTGAATGTCAGGAAACATGCTCTTAGGCTTGGTACCCAAGAACTCAATTTAAGGAGCCACGAAAAACTCAAGCAAACCACTTATTTATTTATTTTTTGCAGAGTGGGGGGTACTGGGAGTTTGAGTACAGGGGCACTTACCAAGCCACACCCCTAGCCCTTATTTTTTAATTTTGAGACAGGGTCATGCTAAGTTACCTAGGGTCTTGCTAAGTTGCTGTGCCTGGCTTTGAACATGCCATCCTCTTGTTTCAGTTGCCCAAGTCGCTGGGATTACAAACATGTGCCACCGTACCTGACTCATTTTATTTAAGATTCAATTTTAAACCTACAAAGATATGGGAGGTGTCTCATCTTTTCCAGACCAACCAGTAATAACACAAGGGAGTTCATTTGACTTGACTACACACTGGCTAAATGGGGGCAAGAGACATGCTGCCGTGACAGTGGCCTGGGTCATTATTGGTCATGGGGACTCAATCACACCCTCAGACACAGACAAGGTAGAGTTAGAGACTCTCAGAGTCTCATTCTTCCTAAAAGTTGGGAGTCATATTAATGAGAGATAAGAGCATTAATTTTGGTTTAAATTTTTTTTTCTGTAGAATCATAATCTTCAGGCAGGAAAGGATTTAATAAACTTGTCTAGAAAAGGAACAAAGTCTATAACAGCAAAGTCTATAATGGGTAGAGTTACCTTCTGTAGGGTGAGATCTTCTGACAAATTTCAGCTTTGTTTTTAAGAAAATTTAGAGGTAATCAGAAAAGGTGATTTAAAGAACAGTGAACATTGAAGAGTAGAAAGGAGCAAGTGTAAGCTATTATCCTCTACAAAGAAAAAGAAGGAAGAAAGGAAGGGAGCAAGGGAGGGAGGAAGAAAGGGAAGGAAGAAATCTACAAACCATAACATAGCAGCTTTATGTTGATCTTTACCAAAATTTTGAGTGAATGGTAAACAAATGGCTTCTGTCTACAGACAGTGAGAAACAGTGACCACTAATTTTTTTTTCCTTCTTTGGTACCAGGTGTTGAACCCAGGGGGTGCTTAACCACTGAACCACATCCCCAGCCCTTTTTATTTTTTTATTTTGAGAGAGGGTCTTGCCAAGTTGCTTAGGGTCTCACTAAGTTGCTGGCTTTGAATTTGTGATCCTCCTGCCTCAGCCTCCCAAGCTGCTGGAATTACAAGTGTTTCCCAAGGTTCTGGTCCCATTAAGTTTTAAGAGGGACTGCTAAGAACAATGTTATTCTAGATTTTCTTTTGGAACAATGTTATTTCATGTAGCAAGTGCTACAATTTATTCAATATTACCATGCTTTAGGCATCTAATACTCATATTGTTTCTCTTCCTCATAATTACCTCTGGGTAAATATAATTATTTCTATTTTATTATTAAGAAAGTACCTGTCTGAAGTTATAAAACTAAAGTACTAAAAACAAAAAGCCAACCTACCTGACTTTTCCATACCTCAAGTTACTAACCTACTAGACTGGGGAGGTAGTTACAATATATCTGCATTTCAACCAGGCGCCTGATAAAGTGGATTTTCCGGAGGGGGAGGCAGAATGCCCACACGTAGGATGCTGATTAACAGATCAAAGGCTTCTTCGAACTGAACAATTTTGATGAGATCACCATCTAATTTGTTGATTTGAATAAAGGAACTAGAATGGCATAAACTTGGGTGAATGGGTAAGTGGTTGAATGACAATTAGGATTCTCAAAGGCTGCTTCTAAAGCTGGAAGAAAATGCAAAAATCCACAGGATGGTATTTAAGGGGATAAATATATGGCCCAGGCCTCCTGATGCTTACCACAAGTCATTCTTACAATGACTATATAGAAAAAGGAGGCAGAGTAAGTCTACCCCATGTACACCTCAGCTCAGGCCCTGTGCCTGGCCTGTGTTGTGAATGGAAAGACATGGTGTGTGTGTGTGTGTATAATATATGAATATATACATTTAGATATATGAATATATATACATGGATATATGAATATATATACATGAATAGATATATGAATATATATGAATCAAACCTAATCTAGGAGACTAGAACCTGGGAAAGGGAGAAAGACAAACTAAGGATTGTCATAAACTGCATTTGTTTTACATGTTATTTTGGATCCATTTAATAGAAGTATAGTTCTCTGATCAAAGGAGTTATAGTTCCACCACATTGTATAATCAGATAATACCCACAATACTGGGCTCAGTGATTTAATTAATGGGATAATGTTGGAAGAGACCAGCCAGAATGGCAAAAGCACTACAAATTATTATAAAGCTAATTAGTTCTTTGATTCATTTTATGGGTGCTCCAAAGGTTACCTTTATATAATTGAAGGATGTTTGTGGGAAAGGACCACACTTTGTGTATATTTGAGAGCACATCTGTGATTAGAAAGTAGAGGCTATAGAGAGACTAAAGACTTTTCCAGTAATTAAAAACATTTGAAAATTGAAAGAATACGTTGTGTGGTATGAACAGCCCCCTCTCTACTTAGTCTGAGTCCTTGAAAGGAGGTTCTCAGGGAAACTGAGGCAAAACCCTTTGCATGCCTCTACCCTGACTTTGTGAGCTCATGAAAGTTGGTACCTATATGCATTCATTTCCCTATTTCCTGCAACTTGCCCAAAGCCTGGCATTTAATAAAGACTCAGTATATGTTGAATCGATGAATGAATAAATCTACCATTTATTCCTAAAGCCCTAGACTAAAAAATCATTTTGATGCTTTTAAGCATTTTAAACCTTTTAAAGCATTTTAATGGAAAAGTTGCCAGATTTAATTTAAACCAGAGGTAAGGGATCTCTGATACTTAAATACACTGATTTTAATTACTTTAAATAAGGCTTCTGTTTGCTGTTGATAATAATAAAAAGAGGAATGAGGTATCATAGACAACCTTGGGCTGACGCTGAGGGACAGACCCCTTTCCCCAGGAGGCAGTGGTTCAGTGACTGACTCCTTGACAAGATCTCTTGAGAGGAGGGTATGGGTCCACTGAAGCACAAGTGCTAGTAGCTTGAGCCCAGTGCTCCCTTCTGGGATCAGCCAGTTTGAAGGGAGGCTGGAAGTCTTAGGCTACTCCCCAGAGAGGCAATCAAGGAGGCTAGAAACTGCTTGTGTTCCTCTTGGTCCTATTATTTTCATCATCATTCCTTAGCACCTGAAGACCTGTGGGGTGCAATAGGCTGTCAAGTATCTGTAAGTTCATGAAAGAATGTGGGTGAGCACTGAAACCTGGCTAGGACTCCAGTTATAACCATGCTGGATGTAACTGTGGACTGGAACTGTCTTTACATATTTGAACATTGCTTATATGTTGTGGGGTGGGGGCCGCGGGACAGCAGTGTGTTAAAATGTTGCACCATGACATAGGCCTATAATCCCAGAAGCTCAGGTGGCTGAGGCAGGAGGACTGCAAGTTTGAAGAAGCCAGCCTCAGCAATTTAGTGAGACCCTAAGCAACTTAGTGAGACCATGTCTCAGAAAAAAATAAAAAAGGTATAGCGATGTGGTTCAGTGGTTAAGCACCCCTGGGTTCAATCCTCAGTAACCACCCCCCCCTCCAAAAAAAAAGTCCTTAACTGAGATTCCAAAAGGATCAGGGAATAATATATGGATTTGGAGTTCAAGAGATGAGAATTAAAACATTTTATGTATTTCTCCAGCACTTATGGATTAATGGTGGCAAGTTACTTCCTCTCCTCTATACCACAATTTCTTAATCTGTATAATGAAGGAATTGTCAAAATGATGTGCATATCCACATACACACATACATGCATATATAAATGTCTACATGTTATATACATGTAAAGGCCTCTCTCTGTGTGTATAATTATATATATACATTTATAATTCTCTTACAGAATAATTCCACTGTCAATCCTTTAAGTCATAGGTGATGCCCATGCTGGGCTTTGGTGTCTTTTGTAAAGGAGGGCTTGGGGAAATGTCCAGGATGCTTTCTATCACAGTGACATCACCTTTGCCTTTGCCAAAACAGCAGCTCCCCACCCCTTCCCGCTCTGACCTTCTCTTCAGCCAGTGCCACTCAGATGTCCTGCAGCTTTCACTCTTTCTCCACACCCATCCACCCCTTGCGACAGAGTCCGCGGCTGCAGCTGAACTCACACTGTTTGTGGGGTTCCTGGGAGACGCCGGGCGCCCTGCACACCAGCCCTGCCAGCTGCCGAGGCTGCTCCCCATCGCAGCCCTCCTCGGGCGTTGCCGCCACGGTCACTACCACGGGATCCTGCTGCCTCATGCCGCCAGGGGTTTCGCGGTCTGTCGGCTGTCGCCCGGCTTTCTCAGCTCTGCAGTCAGCTGCGTAAACTAGGCGTCTCCGGTTGCCATAGTGACTGCGGATCCTCCCCGCCCTGGATGTTTTTTGCCAGCCCTGGGAGTACCCTTGTGTATTGCCCTGCAAACCAAAGAAGACGTGCAGTTAGAGTTTAAATTCGTTTTTGATCAAAGCAAAGGACCTTCCATTGATCTCTCCTTTCTCACATCAGCTTCTCAAAAGAGGTTTTACAGTTCCCTAATAGGGAAACTGAGATTCAGAAAGACTCAGAAAATTGCCTGAGACCACACAGCTAGGGTGTGGCACAGATGGAATGTCACCTCAGAAAAGTCTGGATCCAAAGTCCAAGAAATATGTCACCAACAGAAAGTGCGGAGTGAGGGCAGGTACTGGACAGGTGAGTTCAAAGTGCGATCACTGGTTTCATGCGGCACACTAAAATATGCTTGATTATCATAATTTTATAATACTATAGAGCCCCAAACTGTAAACATTCTAAAGGCACATAAGAGAATAAAAAAATAAAACGTATCTATAAATTATTATATGCTGATATAACAGAGTAAAGCAATGAAAAAGACAAACCCTGTATGTGGAATTATGGATGACTCTCATAGGCATAACATTGATTAAAAACAAACAAACAAACACACAAATACACATAGTAAATCATTCCATTTATGTAGGTCGAACTCAAATAATGGTAGTAAAAGCTAGAGCAGTCGTCAACTTTGAAGGAACACTGAGGGGCGGGACAAAATAGGCTTTTGGAATACCAGTTATTTCCCATACCTTCAGCTGTTAGTCACATGGGTATGTTAACTTTGAATAATTCTTCAAGATTTTTGAATTTTATTATATGTATGGTATACATCTACAAAATTAAAATAATTGAGCACATTCTAATTATAAAAATTAATTTGAAATTTTTTACTCATAAAACAATATGGTTTATTTGATCAAATAATAATCATACAACTATTGTTTTCCTCAATATAAAAGATTTGGAGATAATGTAGTTGTAAATTAGAGTAACTATATTAATTTAGGTGGCTGCTCATTTTCTTCTTTTGATTTTTTTAATTTCCAATGATCATATGTGTCTTCAATTATGTACCACTTCAAAATCTCTTTGAAATAAATTATTGAAAAAGTGTTAAATGTACTGTTTTAGTTATGAACTGTGGTCCCCCCTCTTTTCAATTCCACAAAACTAAAATGAGCAATAAAAATTGAGCAGTTGATTTATCCTTTTTTCATTTCAATTACATGAAAAAGACCAACATGTCCACTAGATGGAGGCAAAATCTAAGACTAAAGTTTCTTTATAAAATAATGTAAAAATATTATCTTTATCAAATAAATAAAAAGTTAATAAAAGTCACCAAAGTTAATACATAACTTAATATTATTTAATGGCATTTTAGTAAAACGTAGGTGGCTTGAGTTTTTTATTCTGTGTTCAATTCTGTATCTATGAAACAGGTCTCAAGAAATCAACTTTCTTCTGCTTAGTTTTGGAGTAATTGAATAAGCATTTGGATGTTTAATGCTATTGCTTTTTTCTTCAGAGAAGTAAATGCTATAACCACTTTGGTGGCCTATTTAAGATTCTAACAGTCTGATCTAAATTATTTTAAAAGCCAACCAAATTATTCTTGTGTAGTAACTAGCCATTTTTTAAAACTTTTGAAAACTGCCAAATGGACTAAGTTTTTGAGCTCACGTTTTATTTCCTATTCTATCATTTACTGGAGAAAATGCTCCTGGTTACAAAGAACTTGTTTCATGGGATTTAAAAGTTGCAGTCAATTGATTAAATGTGTATGTGTGTGCGTGCACACATGTATTTATAACTCACACACCTTTGTGAAGATACAGCCCTAGAATTTGGAGAAGAGGCCATCATATTTCCCTGCTTACTATGAAAAATGACAGAGGAATAAAATTAGTCATCTTTGAATACCTACTTTAAAATCAATTTTATTGAAATATAACTTATATACAAAAACTGCATTTTATTAAAGGACTACTGAATTCAATGACTTTTAAGTTACATACACTTGCAAAACCACCACCACAATCCAGATACAGAAAATTTAACCAACCCCAAATGATTTGTCCTGCCATTTTAAAATCCAATCTGTGTCCCTGTTACCAAACTGTTTTTTCTTCTATCCATAAATAAGTTCCTTTTTTCCCCCAAATGAACTCTTATTTGTTCCAGTACCATTTGTTTGAGAGAATTTCCCATTCAATTCTTGGTACTTGTGTAAAAAAAACAATTGGCCATCTATATCCAGATTTATTTCTAGACTCTATTCTTCTCTATTGACCTATATGCAGTCTATCTTCTAATACTGATTCCTTGATATTGATGTTTCATAGCTAATCTTGAAATCAGGATGTATAAGCCTCCTAACTTGGTTTTTCTTTTTGAGAACTGCTTTTGCTCTAATAATTGTCAACTGATGGTATTTTTGCTTATTTATGTTTTTATGCCATAAAATGCAATTTTCTGCATACTGCATAATTTCACCTGTATGGATTTTATTTTGTTTTCCTTCATGCTTCCTACTCAATATACCAAGGATATAATCCAGGCCCTTGCATATTTGAGACAAGCACCCTGCCACTAAGGTGAATCCCCTTCCTCCACTTACATGAAGTAGTTAAAACAGGTAAGCACAGAGAAGCAGAGTAGAATGTATTGTCAAGGGCCGGGAAAAGGGGGAAATGGGAGTAGACGCTCATTGGGTATAAAGGTTATGTTATACAAGATGAGTAAGTTCTAGAGATCTGCTGTACAGTATTACATCTATGGATAACTATATTATATTGTATAATTAAAATTTTAAAAGGGTAGATTTTAAGTTAGATGTTCTTCCCATAATAAAATAAAGACATTTACATGTAAAAAAAGAGCACGGAATTTTATGTGGAAGGCAAAAGCAAATTAACAAATGTATATATGTGTGTAATATATATTTTATATGTGGATATATAGCATACATATTTAAATATATAGATGTAAATAATCAAATTTTAAAATATTGACTAAACTTTCAAAAGCAAATTCAACTTTCCCACCATAAATATATCACATAAAATAATATTAAAGAAAATCAAAAATTTTTGGTTGTTATTATTGATAGACTAGTTATACACAGTTATTAATATTTAAGAACACTATAGGTGAAGAGCTGTTGTGGGAACTTGAGCTTTGTGGGAACTCACTTTGAAGAAAATACACTAAACAGGCAGAATAATTTAATCTCCAATCAACTTTACAAATAAGTGAATATTAAATACTAGTGTGTGGTGAAGAGCACTTACTTTCATCATGCACAACTGTATGACAATGGGCCATTCACTTAATTTCTGCCAGCCCAACTTCCTCATTTTTACAATGATATCTACTGCATATGGCTATTGTGAGGCTATTGTGGTGTATGTGAAGCACCTACAGCACAGTCGGCTCATAGTCGGCATTCAGCTGTTAGCTCCTATAGACTAGCACAGTGGGTTGGTGTACCATGTCTTATATACCTAAGAATTTTCATAAAAAAGACGAGTCTATTTCACTCATGCTAAAAGATGTTTGGGGGAGGCTGATACACAGATATAGATTTTTTGTAATAATGATTTTTATATATTTCATCTTAGAATTCCCTTATAAAACAAAAGTGATTGACAAAATAAATTATACCACATGATTTTTACATTTAAGTAACAAACTCAAAGACTCTAGGTCTGTAATAACATTAAGAGATTAATTTCTAAAAAAGAAATTTTCTCTGTTTCTCTACTTATTTACCTCTGAACCTCCTAGCTTTCTCACCATGGCCTTCCTCCATGACAGAAGTAGTTGATCTCTCTTATTCTTATTTTTCTAGAAGCAAAGTCTTGTGTCAACTTCATTCAGCAATACAATAAAAATTCACATTTGTAATGGTGCTACCTATTAAAAATCAGAATGTTGCTATTATCTCAATTGAGACACAGAAATTAGATTTTTTTAAAATCGTAAATTCATCTGAGATAAAGGGTAAATTTCCTAAAGGCCAAAACTGAGTATAGGGATTAAGCTTTTCTTCTAACCAACTTTCAGTATTAGTGAGCTCTCTTTTTCTAATTGTATGTTTTAGCCCAATTTTTGAATATGTTCAATGATTCTATTAATAAAATACTAAAAACCTAGTCAGGCATGATGGTGCACGCCTGTGATCCCAGCAACTCAAAAGGCTGAGGCAGGAGGATCACAAGTTCAAGGACAGCCTCAGCAATTTAGTAAGCCCTAAACAACTTAGTGAGACCCTGTCTCAAAATAAAAAAGGACTATGACTAAGCATCCCTGGGTTCAATTCCTGGTACAGTCAGGCAAACAAAAACAAAATGAAACAGAACTAAAGTAGAATCAATGATTACATGATTTAAAGATAGATTGAATATTTGAAATGCCTAACAAAATGTAAGGAAAACATATGCTTTAATTAAATTTACTTGCATGTTAATAAAAACAACCATGTAGCTTTTCAAATTATGAAATCTTCTGCCTTATAGATATTTTATGCTATAAAGAAGGGGACATTGGGCAATGTCTGGAGACATTTTTGGTTGCCATAACTGGGAGTGAGGGCCTGGCAGGTGCTGTTGGCATCTAGTGGGTGCAGTCCAGGAGTACTTCTAAACATCCTACAGTACACTGGATGCCCACCACAATGACATTATGTGGCTCCAATGTCAACAATGTGAAGGTTGAGAAACGTTGCACACTGTTACTTTTCTAGATGGACTCATATCCAAGGGTGCAGACTAAAATCAAAAGAAAGGATGAAAGGACACTTACACATTTTTCTTGCTTTTGATTCTTTTCATAAGTTTTACATATCTTCCAATTTCAATAAGAAATATGCAAAAGCACATGAAAGCAAATCTGAATCCTACTCCTTTTTTCTGGTACATGCTCTGAAGTACTTGATTCATCTTAGGTCTTTTTATGACCTCATAGCAGAGCCTGTGTCTTTACTGATTGCCCTCTGCAATCAGTATATATTTTCTTCTTGAGATATTAAACTGAGGTTTGGAAAAACTTGATAGGCACATGATTTTTTCTCTTTCTTGTGTGATGGCAGGCTCACTTCCTCACTTTTTATTCGATGACTAAAAATTGCCTGATTAAGGTAGATGTATATGAAAATGGAACACCAATGACTGCTCAGGAGACAATGCCCTTTCTGAACTCAAATTAATTCTCTAATGGTTCCCTAATTTTCAATTACTATACATCTAGTAGAGATAAAATGCTGAACATATTGTAATATGAATGGAAAAATAAAACAAATTATCAGCTTGCTTTCCAATTGTATACACTATTTCTTTGATTAAGCTAATTTTCTGGCTCACAAATCTTGCTACAGTGAGATCCATTGGAGGATATGCCATGTCATTGGAGGATTATTAGATGCACCTGAGTTTTCAATGGACAAAATGAAAGTAAAATCAGTTAAAATAAACTGATTATTTCTTGTGTTTTTATTCCTTTTGTTTAGTATTAACAATAACCCACCTTGAAAAGAGGGGAAAATGGGTATGAATTTAAATAGCAACTCATTTAATAGGCATTGGGAAGATGCATATAGAATGAGCAATAAGCTATTCAAGATTTGTATTCATTCTGGAAATATATTCTCTTGGAATTTCCTTTCCCTCCTGTCCTTGCAATTATTTACCAAAATTCTTTTCCTTTATTTTGTTTATTGCTTTAATTTTTTCTTCTTTTGGAGAACTTTGATACTTGGTCAAGACCACTTAAAATGGGGTGGGCATTTTTTCTAGGAGAGAAGTTTCTCAGATTCTTGAAAGAAGCTCTGTGCTGCAAATTGTACTGGAAAACTGTTAGGGACAACTATAGGAATATAAAGAGAGAGTTACTTAATTGGTCTTCAAGAATCCAAATACTTAAAAGAAGAAGGGCATATCTGCTTGGAATACTAGGGAAAGAAAGAACTCAATCCACTTTTTGAGTACCTATCACCTAATAGGTATTATATCCACATTTATCTCATTTGTCTCCTGCAACGGGCAACAAAACAGATATTATCCCAATTTTACACATGAAAAAACTGAAATTATTTGCCCAAAGTTGCACATAAGTGTGACTATCTCAGTTTAATGCTTCTCTTAACCAACCTGCTATATCTCCAGGGCATGTGTCATGCATCTACCTGTGCTGTTCAGTATAGTAGCTGCCATCAAATGTGGCTAGTCTGAATTCTGATATACTATAAAATGCACTGTACTTTGAAGACTTAACTACAAAAAAGTAGCATATCTCAGTAATTGTTAAATATGTTGAAATTACATATTTACATATTACATTGCCCTTGTAATGTTGAAATTAATATTTTGGATGCACTGGGTTAAAACATTTTAAAAATCAATTTCACCCACTTTGGTTTAATGTGGCTACTAGGAAAAACTTAAAATTACCTACAGCTCATATTATGTTTCCTTGTGATAGTACTATTTAATTTCTCCTTAGTTCTCCAGAAGTAAAATTTGGGGGTTTCCAAGGGAAATTTCCAGGAATTAAAAAACACCAATAGGCTATATTCAACTCTTCTCTGTCTTTCTGAACTTACCAAACATAGACCTTAAGTTCCATTTAGAGGAAGCACTTTTTATTACACTGGTTTAATGGTAATTTAGTTATCCTGAAGAACACTTGAAGGATCCTATGATAAGCTAATATTAATAAAGGCATAATTTGATTTAGTAATCATATTTCATGGGCAGATTTCATAAATTCCTAGTCATTTTGGATAGGATGAAGATAGCATATATGTTGATCAGAAATAGAAAGCTGAAGCTATGGATATAACTTAGGTACCTACCTTCAATAGATGAATGGATTAAAAAATGTGTTATATACAATGGAATATTACTCAGCCATAATGAAGAATGAGATTATGGCATTTGCTGGTAGATGGATGGAACTGGATAATATTATGCTAAAAAAACCAATCCCCAAAAAACAAAGGCTGAATGTTCTGTTATGTGGATGCTAACACACAATAATGGGACAGGGGACAGAAGTTCATTGGATTTAGACAAAGGGGAATGAAGATGGGGCTGGGATGAGAACAGGCAAGACAGTAGAATGAACTGGACATAACTTTCCTATGTTCATATATGAATATATGACAAGTGTAAACTCCACATCATGTACAACCACAAGAATGGTAAGTTATACTCCATGTATGTATGATATGCCAAAATACATTCTACTGCCATGTATAACTAAAAAGAATAAAAAAAAAAAAAAAAAATAGAGAGCTGATCCAGAGATTTCATTTTGGTATGAGATTCAAGCTTCTGGGTTTCTCTTGATCATGAGCTTCTAGTGAGTAGTGGATGCTACAAAGATGCCAAAAAATAGGAATAAATGAATGTCCTCACATTCCTATAGAAAGATTGTAAATCCCATCACTGTGGTAGGCTGTGGGCCACAAGGCTCTCTGTAGTGTACTTGAGATTTATATAGGCAAAGCCAAATAGTTTCACCATGGGCCTATGTATACCTTGAACAATAACGAGTTGTCTCTTCCTCAAGCAGACAAGTTAATCAAATTTAAGACCTCAGTTATAGAAAACTGATTTAAAAAAAAAAGTCTTTGGATAAACTTCAGAATTAGAGAAAATTTTGTTTGCCACTCAAATTTTGGCCTGCTTAAACTGTAAAAGTACAGCTATGTGGTAGTCAAAAGCACAATTAGTAAATATTTTCTGTGGATAGTAGTAAATGTGAAGTATAAAGGATGCAAACAATAAAAATTCTTCCCTCTGGGAAAGAGGCTTTATTTGTTCAAAGTTTGCTTTTTAGCATTGGTGAATGTTGAGGACTAAAAAAACCTTAAGAGTGGTCACAACTCAGTTCCTTATTAGATAGTCTTCTTTGGCTCCATAAAGGGAAAACTGACATAAAATCATGGATATAACCCACTCCCAATTAAGAATGGAGCTGCAGGCTCTGTGAATTTCAGATAATCAGGCAGCCTCGTTCAGCAGTCTACTGGTATAGATGGGGTCCTACTCTACCATCACTGTCTGTCAGCTGTACTTATCATTTGGTGTCACTTACTTGGACCAGAAAAAATGGAAAGAAAGCAATCTCTTGTTTTCTGCACAATTATTTGTATTAGGTATTGATACTCTAAAACCAAGGCCAGAGATCACAAAATAATTGAAGTTTTATAACTCTTGAGAATCTGTTACAATGACTGTTAATTTATTATCTATAACTTTCTGAGATGATCCAATTTTGTTCTAAACAAAATCCTGCCGCATATATTTGATTAATAAATATTATTGCATAGTGTAGGGTGGTTGAGTCATGTGGGCTGGCTCAAGAGACAAAATTTGGTAGGCATTTAAAAAATATACTGAAGAAAAGCATAGCTGGTTGTTTCCTTTCCCTACAACGTTAGTTCCAGTGTTGAGAGGTTAAGAGAAGATCCTTTGGGAATAGTCAAAGGAGCTAGGTATTCAATGGGAAACTGCTGAATACATGGAGAGAGTTGCATATGCTGTTTGAATAAATATGCTGTTAAGTCAAACAAAATATACATGTTAAAAAAGAACTCACGCCTTTTTTCTTGTCAAACTTGCACTTTATTTTTCTTGAATATTTGTTTATCACTATCCACACTGTGTTTTTTTTTTTTTTTAAACCTGAGCCACTTGGTGGTTCTAGTCCCAATATAATTATAATCCCCTTACTCTTAGAATTCCTTATCCTTGTCACTTTGCCCTTGTAATGGTTTGAATAAACTGAGGACCTTGGAAAATTGATATTTTTGGTGAACTCAAAGAGATTTTACGAGCAGAGGCTGACCCAGCAGGATTAGGCAAGTAAAACCAGTTGGGTAGCAGATATATTATGATCTCCTGGACCAAGGGATAGTTGTGTGCATCTCTAAAAGGTCATACTGACTCACCATAATAAGGATTATGTAGGTTAACCAGGGTGAGGTAGGACTGTGCACAGGGTTTTGTGAACTGTGGCAGGGGAGGCAGTATGTAAAATTCATGGACTAAATGCCCAGCTAACTACTTTTCAAAATTTTCTGTTATATAAAGCAAAAATCTAGGCTTTTTTTAATTGTATTTTTTAAAGTCACTAGTATGTTACTTTTTCTGGTTTACAGTGAAAGCAATTGATTATGATAATGTAGACAGCTGAGCTGTACCAATATATTTAAGACTTTTAAATTAAATTTAGAGTCACCTAACTTTATAAAAATACATGTTAATATATTAAATACTCAACAAAGATCCAGGATATGGGGTATTTAAAAATACATTTCTCTTGGATCAGCACCAAAAATATCTTTAGTTTCTGTTCTACCCGTGTCAAGTTTTTAAGTAAAGGTAAGTTAAAATTATTCCTCATAAAAATCACAACTCCACAGAAATCATTAAAGATATATCTAAACAACTCTCAAATACATTTTGACATCAAGATCAGGCGATTCACTAGGAAGAAGATTATACTGAGTAGCACTGAATTTTTGTAGTAAGACTTTTGATGTCAACTTTGTATAATGGGAATATTTTACGTCACACACAAAGGAGGCACTGGTACTCACAAACTTAAGAAAATTACTAGAACTATTAAGACTGAGGTGAAGAATTTGTACAGCCTTCCACAATTTCAAAGAGGTAGTGATAGATACTTGTCCTCCTGGCAATATCAAATGCAGTTTCTTCTAAGTTGTTCTTCAAATCTGGTTTGATATAACGGTTCATTAGGAGGAGTTCTAGGGTCTCTTTGCTGTCTCTGTTTCCAGCAGCAAGATGCAAGGGAGTCAGAAGGCCTTTTGTTTGAGCATTGACATCTGCATCGTGCTGAAGTAAGAAAGAAGCCACTCTGGTATTGTTCCACTTACAAGCACTATGCAGAGGTGTCCAGCCATCCACAGTTACTGCATGCACATCTGCCCCTTGCGCAACCAGTTCACGGACAATATCTAAATGTCCACTGTAGGCTGCTCGATGAAGAGGGGTATACTCATCCTCATCTCTAGTGTTTACTTGAGTGGCTTTCTCAGAAAGTAGTCTCTGCACTGTAGTAAGCTGAAAAGGAAAAAAAAAAAAAGAGCTCTTTAAAAAACCCAACTCGAAGCAAAACAATAAATAAAGAAAATGAAATTGTTCAGCAGTTTTAGATTTAATTAAGTTAAATAAAAAACTGTTAAGGGATGAATTTTAAAATGAAAATAATTTAAGATTTCTTTTTTGGTGCAAGAGGGCAACTGGTTTACTAATGAACAATTTAGTGTTAACTATACTCAATTGCTTCTAAGAATCCGATTCTCTGAATATCAAACCATACATTTAGTCCTGGTCTAATTAAGACTTACTGCACAAAAGCTTTAGCCCTAAATGAATAATATAGGCTATAATTATATTTAATATTCTATATTTCATCTGCAAAGAAAATATAACATTAATTTTCTTATAATAACATCATTCGAATAAACAGTGTATAAAACTTATAAAAATGAAATTTCCTTTAAGAGAAGAATAAAATGGTGAAAGGAAATCCAAGGACTTAAAGGCTCAATTCCTTCTGAATATGACCTCAGAAACCTGCCACCAGGCAGTGATTTTCAGTTTAGTTTATGAACCTCTAGAGGGCTGCTGGGTGTTCTAGAGCTAAAAAGCTATTAATCAATGCTAAATTCTTATAGTTATTAGTTTACCAACACAGACATGGGAGAACATAATAAAGTGAAGAGGAAGTGGCCAAGTAGAAAGAATAGTTTTTTGGTGTTAATTCTACTAGGATAATCCTGGGAAAATTAATATTAACCCTTATTGTATGGACACGTGAGGATTAAATAAAACAATGTAGTAAGCTAACTGGTATAGTTGGTATTTAATAAATGTTAATTTCCATTTTACCTATTTTAAACAATGTTTACCCATAGGATAATCCTAATAACTTATAAATGCTTTAAAAATATAGATAATTGCTTGTTATCCTTATAGTTAATTATTCTTAAACCCCCAAATAATACCTAACATGACAGTTTGTAATTTAATATGTGCTTTTGTGTACATTGCTTAATTTGATTCTCACCATCCTGTACAACAGAGACAGATATTATGGTGGCCATTTTTACATATAAGAAACTAGAGGTTCAGAAATGGAATTTGCTCAAAGATCAAATAGAGGGGTGCACCTGGGCAGGTCTTTAGGTTCTAAACCCAAAGTTTTTCTTACTATTTTATGGTTCCCCTTTTTTCCTTTTTTTACCCGATTTTTTTCAGCAGCCCAAAGCAGCAATTTGCTTGGATCTTTCTCCATTTTTTTTTCTTGTAATTGATACCACTCTTCATTTTTTTCATCTTGCTCTTCATCTTCATCAGAATTGCCTACCCAGAGACTTTGGGTACCAGTGGGAATAAGGTGTCCATGTGTTTCCAACAATTCAAGTTGATTAAAGTGTTCAGAAAAGTCCAAAGAATTCTCTGGGTCTGGTTTTCCTTCATCATTTATTTTTGTTTTTTCCATTTTAACTACTATTCTAAGTAAAAAGCATTTCAAATGCTATGATATAATCTTTCTAGGGATGAATTATGTCTGCTTTATTGTTTTCATCAAGATCTGAAAACACAAACACAAAAATTATTAGCAAAACAATAACTGAAGCTTTATCAATAGCACAGAAACCAGTTTTGCAAGCATGCACAAATAAACATTATCTAAACTGGTTGTTTTCTCATGATGCTCATATTAAATACTAGAGCTAACAGATTTCAGTTATCTATGATCTTTAACGATCTAGCCATTCTTCTTTTCCTTCTAGTAAATGAATGGCTATGCCTATTATTTTGAACCTATTGGTTTAAGTATGATGGTATTCAGTGAAGGGTGATGAATGCTTAAATTTTTTGAAGTATAACTAATACAATAAATACAGATACAATAACAATTTTTATAAACTAGATACATAGATAACACAAAGCACAAACAAAAATTTCTAGTTTCCAAGAGACAATTTGAAAAAATTCTTTGACAAAATAGGCCCCAAATGATATCTTTCCCAAATCTCTCACTGGTACAGATAATTTTATCACTATACTTGTAATAATTATCCTATTTCTACTTTAATAATTTCAGGCCTAGGAAAACTCATTGCTTCAAAAAGTAGTCCTATTTGCTGACAGAAAACTATAGTTCTTAGTTGGCTCCTTGTTTCTGAACTGAATTTTGGTTGTCATTTACTCATTGCTTCAAAAAGTATGAATTTTTAGGAACTGGGATTCAATAATGAACAAGATCCATGTCTTTACCTTAAGAAGATTCCTGTCCAGTGCAGGTGATTGCAAAGATAATATGAACCCTATCTAGATACCTTGAGTATACAGGAGGGTCATAATTCACCCATTCCTGGAGATGGAAGAAAGCTTCCGGCAGATGTTTATTCTGCTTAGCTGCAATATTAATTTACAAATTAATATCAGCTTAAAGAGTTACACAGCACATAAGCCTTAATCAAAATTAAGAAAATGAAAATGTTATTTTAAAAATATAATTTATCAGTCTCCAAACTGCACTTTTTGAAATCTTAACAAATCTTTCAAGACTATTCTCAGAATGTTCTCCCTTTCATTCTTTCTTGATCCTCCCAATTAGATCTTTCTCCTTTGTTCTTTTTGGTGCTATATTTTGTCTTGTTTTACCATGAACTTTGTTTCTGATGCTTAAAGATCATGAACTTAAGGTTAAGGACTTTGTTTAACTAACATTTAAATTCCACTTCTATACAGCAAGTATTGAGAAATAGCAATAGTATTAAATTTAATTAAAGCCCTGTCATTTGATTCTGCCTAGAATAGATTCTGAGAAGATCCAGAATTAGTCATACACCTAAGATACTAATTTTGTTCTACTAAATTCCACAAATTTAAGAATATACAAATCTACTGTGGTATTAAATATTGTTTACTAGGGGCAGGATCATGAAACTCAAGCTTAAATCTATCACTTATGACCAGTAACTTCTCTAGGCCTGTAATTTCATTGTAAAATGTAAGGATTGTACAAAGAATTTCTAAGGTCCATCCAACTTTTTGGAGTCTATTGAGTGACCTCATCGGACTTACTTTGTGTTATATTAGTTCCCTTGGAGTTTCCACTTTTTTCTTTATTCTCAAGCTATTTTCTGAACCTCGCAACACAAAAGTGATCATATAACAATTCATTAAACAGGTAACAAATACCTACATAAAGTATGGAACCTACATAAAGTATGGATCGCTTGTATTTATATCAGATATAATAATATTTTAGCACAAATCTCACTGACTTCCCACAAAAAGTCTTTCTTTTTCCATAGCCCTTCATATAAATTCTGAACTTTTAAAGTTCTAGATAAAATAAATCACATACAAAACTTCCTTGGTATATTTAATTTAAAAAGTCAAACCCAGATGCATCTTCTTCGTTCAGGGTTTAAAATAAAATGATCAAGATTCTTACTCGATGATATCCGATTAGGAAGTAATAGGGTGACAAATTCAGTGACAGATTAAAACAACCTGTCAAATTCAGATCAAGGACCCTTCTGTGGAGCTGAAAGCCCGATCTTCAAATTAAAAAGTTCCACATTACTTTTACTGCACTATATTTTGTTCTCAGAAAAACGCAGTACAGATGTGCTGAAGCCGGGGATTCACGGGCGACAACGGAGAGCAGGGAATAAAGTCTGAGAACTAGAGGGTGTAGTGAGGCGGGAGGGGCGGAGGAAAGACGGCCGCCAGACCTGACTCTGCCACCGGCTAGTCCCTTGCAGGCCCGCGGCCTTCCAAACAGCCAAAATCGAACAAGCCACCACGATCTTACCTAGGACCCGCCAAATGGCCTGACCTCCAGGGCTCGGTCAGGGCCTAAGGTGACCACCCCTTTGGACCCAGTAGTTCTTAACTGCTACTCCACCTGGAAACCTGGTCCGGGACCTGGAGGAATTACCCACCTTACAGAGGAAAGTCGCCGCTGCGAATCTTGCTTCCGGGTTTGTCCCCTGGGCTGCTCAGGATTGGCTCCAGTACGGGGGCGGGGCCTTACCGCTACTTTCCTTACCCGCTCTCGACATTCCGCAGCCAATGAAACTCGAAGAGGACTTGAGAAGCCTACGTAATTAACGAGATATCGCGAGAAACACAGATGCGGTTCTCTCGCGCCTAATTTAGGTTTATGACCCTTCGTGTTTCCCGGGCAGACTGCTTGCTTTTCTACTCACGAATCCCGCCCCTTCTTCCTGGATAGAAGACAGTCTTGGTCCCGAAGGTGGGGCTTTGAAGAGTCCAGGTGTGGGGTAATTTAGGCATCGTATCCATCTCCTAGCTTTCTAGGTTCCGAGGCGGAAGCCCAGAGTGAATGGGACGCTCTGGCGAGCGTGGGCCGCGAAGTCGGCTGGGGAGGGGCGTGGAGAGCTCATGGCTCTGGAGTCCCACCGCGAATAGAGCTTGGTGACTCTTGGAATCCCAATGCAACCTGGAACACCGGACGTGTAAGCCGGTGACAGCTTTCCCTTCCCAAGTCTGACTACTTAAAAGTTGTCCTGCAGGCTCTCAAAGGTGTTTCTCCACGTGTTTGATTTATTTTTTTCTAGCTTTAAACATGGGGTCCCTCTCTTATAAAAACAATCCCGGTCTTTTAAAAACGTTGTTTTGGGCCAGGAAATATGGGGTTGCCGCCATACTCCAGAAAATCCTATGCATACAATTTAACACCCAGAATTGTGTGCTGTACTAGAATCTTACGTGACCCTTACCGTACATTTATTAATATGCATTAATTTTCCATAAGAGCAAGGGAAAAGAAACACTGATATGTTAACCATAACAGTGATATTAAAGTGGCACTGAAGACTCGTTATTGTCTATTATAAACTCATTAAAAAATAATAGTAAGCGCTTAGATGAAAATGAGACTTTCAGAATTGCCAGTCTGATTATTTAAGAAGTCTGTACCTATGCAGCCTAACTGAAAATGGTTAAATATGTGCAACCTTTTAACAAATATGTTTTTGATATTTGTTTTTAGAATTTGGAAACGATTGACGCATTTGAACACAGGACCTAGGAGTTCTTGGAGAGAAATCTTGCCCTTGTGGAGCCCTACTGACCATAAAAATGAGTACTGCTGATGCACTGTAAGCCCATCTTGGCTTATAGAATCCTTTGGTTACTTTGGGTTTACAATGATTATTAACTATGATCACCTTAAAAAAATAAATTACCTGGGCATGGTGGTGCCGGCCTATAATACTAGAGGCTTAGGAGGTTGAGGCAGGAAGATCAAGAGTTCAAAGCTAGCCTCAGCAAAAGTAAGGTGCTAAGCTACTAAGTGAGACCTTGTCTCTAGATAAGATACAAAATAGGCTTGGGGATGTGGCTCAGTGGTCCAGTCACCCTGAGTTCAATCCCCAGTACCCCCAACCAAAAAAAAATTACCAGTAAATAAAGAACTTGCCTGTGAATAGAAGTGTTAATCATCAAAAAGAATATTTTCAATGTTTAAAAATCCATTCTATATGTTTATTAAGACTGTGAAGCTATAGATTGGAGTCTTGGAGTAATTTGTTATGTTGCTGTAGTAAGGTTATGTTCTTAGACTTTATTAAAATATTGAAGCTATAGATAGCCTTGAATTTTCATGATAAAGTTTTATTCATGAAGTTCTGTTTAAGCAGATTTTTAGAGTAAATTAATGTAGTATCAAATATATTGAAAATGAATTTGGATAAAATCTAAATAAATAAAAGGCCTAAAAATGTTGGGTGGAAAAAGCCTTAGACTTTGAGTCTTTCATTGTAGTTTTAAGACATTGGTGAAAATTAGATATATGACCTTGGAAATTCAGCAGTTCTCTGAGCCTAGCCTCAATTTCTTAATTTGTATAATTGGAATAATCATGCCTTTCTCAGATTAATTTTGAGATTTAAATGAGAGAAATCATGTGAAAATACTTTATACATTGCTGTGGAAGGATGTAGTAATGTGATCTGAAAAGCTTGTATACAGTAATCAGAACTTTGTACATATCATTTTTGAAGTTACTAAAGAGAAATATTTCTGGAAATGCTTTTCATATATTAATATTTTAATTTTGTATAAAAAGGGCTGGGGATGTGGCTCAAGCGGTAGCGCGCTCGCCTGGCATGCGTGTGGCCTGGGTTCGATCCTCAGCACCACATACAAAGATGTTGTGTCCTCCGAAAACTAAAAAAAAAAAATATTAAAAAAAATAATAATTTTGTATAAAAAGATTTAAAGGTGCTGGGGTTGAGCTCAGTGGTAGAGTGCTTGCCTAACATGTGTTAGGCACTGGGTTTGATCCTCAGCACCACATAAAAATAAAATAAAAGCATTATGTCTATCTACAATTTAAAAAATAATAAAAAAAAGATTTTTGGGGCTGGGGATGTGGCTCAAGCAGTAACGAGCTCGCCTGGCATGCACGGGGTGCTGGGTTCGATCCTCAGCACCACGTAAAAATAAAAATAAAGATGTTGTGTCCACCAAAAACTGAAAAATAAATATTAAAAAAATTCTCTCTCCTCTCTCTCTCTAAAAAAAAAAAAAAAGATTTTAAAGATTATAGTTTAGTAAAAATAACCTGAGTTTTCATGTGGCTTTTAGTCCTGTTTCTGAAATTAGTTGAGTGATAAATCAATTTTTCAGTGTCCAGACTTTTCATTTTTCAGGTATAATAATGCCTACCTCTTTATTGACTAGGAGTTATGATGAGATCATAGATATAAAAGTATTTAGAAAATTAAAATTGACATTGTTTAAGAGAATGTTAATTGCTATTCCAGTGCTGCTTCACATGAAATTGCCTCTGCCAGATTTTATTTGAATTGAAATTTCTTTTCTTACTTGGTAAAATTTATTAATGAAAAATTAGCTTTTTATTGAAAGTACAGTCAAGCAGGTGTTTCCAGGACCCTGAATGTAAGTTACTAGCACAATAGTATAAAATCTACTTACAAACTTAGAGGAAGACTTTTTAAACTTGATTTTCCTAGATTGTAAAATAACCAAATCTAGTAATCAAGATCAAAGCCCTTTGGGTTTTTGTGCTGGGACAGAATAGGAAAACAAGCAGGCCTTTAGGTTTATTATAACAGGATTATAAATTTTTGAAGCAGTTACAGAACCTTTTAAAACTTATGTACAAATTTGTTATGTATTGAATTAGTGGTTAGAAAAATTATGTGATGTTGAGTACTTCAGATTTTCAGAACAAGGTTAACAGTAGAAAAATGACTTTACTCCTAACTGCTGTTATTTATTTTATGCTTACGTCTTAACTTACTTGAATATCCTTTTAATGCATTATATTGAAATGATATTTATTTTTTAATACAGTGATGATGAAAATACATTTAAAATCTTAGTTGCAACTGATATTCACCTTGGATTTATGGAGAAAGATGCAGTCAGAGGAAATGATACATTTGTCACACTTGATGAAATTTTAAGACTTGCCCAGGAAAATGAAGTGAGTTTGATGTATATATTTGTGTGATTCTACTATATTTCTTTGGTCAGTAGTTTCTTGTCTCTTAGGTTAGATTTATTTTTAGAGGCTCTTGTGCTGATGTGGCCTCCTTACATATCAATATGCTAAAAACTCAAAGCAGATTCTGTGTTTGTATCCTTAATAACAGTAGGATCTACTCTGGTAAATAGTCTTAAAATTTACAAATATATTATGAGGCATTTAATGAATGCATGGTCTTGTGGTAGTTTCTATTTGAAATGAAAAGATTAATATTATAGTTTATGCTTTCAAAGAACATATGGCAAATCCAAATGTGAGATATGATATACAAAATACTCAGATACAAGGTCACATGTGGTAAGAGCTTTAAGAAAGTCATATAGTATTTCCTGGGAGTTTTAGAGGTGGAAGAGATGACATTTAGATGAGGATAGCAAGATGAGTTTAATGAAAGAGGTGACATTTAACTTGAGCTTTGAAGGAGGGCTGGATTTTGGTACTTGAAGAGCACAGAGAATGTATGTTCAAGGTGAAGCAGGAATGAAGGCACAGGCATGAAAAAGTTTCAAGTATGTTAGATGACTAGCAGGTTGGTTTGGCTCACCTATAGGCCATGTATCAGAAGGTGTGCCAAAAGATTAGAAATGAGGGTTTGAACTCCTTTAAGGAGGGCTTTGTATGCCAGAGTGATTGAGGAGTTTGTTCCCAGTTCTATAGAAAGTCTCTGGCAGCAGGGTAGTACCGCTTGAATCAGACCAGTTTTAGATCTTAAAAAAGATCTTTAAAAAGATACAAGGTCAAAGATCTTTAAAAAGATCTTTTTAAAAACAGTGGCATTAGGAATAGAAAAGAGGAAGTTAATGCAAAAGATAATACATGATAAAATTTATAATGTTTGGATAGTTGTAGAGGGTGAGGATGAGGGAAAAGGAAAGACAATAATTAAAGTGTATTGAGTCTGGGTGAATGGTGGTACTGATATTAGAAATAGGGAAGTAAGAATACCGTATGCGTCATGTGTAATGATGCACACCTGTGTTCCCATTGGCTCTGGAGGCTAAGGCAGGAGGATAGTGGGTTCAAAGCCAGCCTCAGCAACTTATCGAGGACCTACTAAGGCCCTATCAGTGAGACCCTGTCTCTAAATAAAAAATATAAAAAAGGGCTGGGGATATGGCTCAATGGTTAAGTGTCCCTGGGTTAAAATCCCCAGTACAAAAAAACCCCCCCAAACCCTAAGCACTCTGTGACCTTATTCTGTTTTATTTTTTTCATAGTCTCACCTGAAATAATTCAGTGAATTGTTTGTTTATTATCTGTATTCTCTACTGGAGGGTAAATTCCATGAGAGTGAAAAATCTTTCCTGCATGTTCATTCTATATTTAAATATTTATAAAAGATCTAAAAAGCCATAGGAGCTCTTAGAACTTTGTTAATTGAGCTAGGAGATAGCTAGTATCAACTCCTTTTAAGATGGATTCTTCTTTCCCTGAGGGCAGAGAAACTTGTTACCAAAGGAGGTCTGTTTCTTGCTAGAATCCCTTAATTTTTCCACCTCCCCATCTTCAGTGGCCCCATGCTGGAACTTCTAGATGCATATTTTAATTACTCTTTCCCTTAATTTGAATTTAATATTTATTATTAAAGTTTGAATTCTTCCTGACTTTGCAGTTCTCTATTATGTTTGCCCTTGTGATCTAATCAGTCTTATTTTATTTCCTTGTTCCTTGGAGACTTCAGATTTTCAATTTTGAAATAATAATCAGTCTTATAGAAAAAAAATTACAAGAAAAGTCCTTCATCCAGATTTTCTAACATTTTATTACATTGACTTTCTTTGCTTTATCTTTTCACATACACATACTTTTCCCCCTGAACCACTTAATAATTTGCACGTGTAACCACAATACACAATTCACAACCAGAAAGTAATATTGATTCAATATCTTTACGTAGTTTTAAGATGTTGATTATCCTAGTAATGTCTCTTATAGCAATTTAAGGGCAGATAGGTGGCCTCCAGGACCCAAGCCAGGATTACATGTTTCATTTAGTTGACATATTTCTTTGATCTACTTTAATCTGGTATATTTGCTCAATCTGCCTTTGTCTTTCATGACCCTGATATTTTTAAATAAAGAGTACAGACTGGTTATTTTGTACAATGTGCCTGCAGTTGGGTATGCTTGGTATTTCCTCATAATTAGATTTCAGGTTCTGCAAGTTTGGGCAGGAATACCACAATAGTGAGTTAAGCCCTTCTCGGGGTTTCCTGGAGCCACAAACTATTTTTTAAAAATATTAAAAAAATATTTTTTAATTGTGATAGAATACACATAACTTAAAATTCACCATCTTTTGAAGTGTACAGAGTTCAGTAGTAGTGAGTGCAGTCACTTTGCCTTGTAACCAGTCTCCAGAATTCCTTTCATTTTACAGAAGTGACATACATTAACCAACTACTTCTCATTCCCTCAGTGTATTTTTTGTAGGGGGACTGGGGGCCGGGGCAGATACAGGGGATTGAACCCAGGGATGCTTAACTACTGAGCTACAACCCTAGCCCTTTTTATTTTTCAGGGCCTCGCTCAATTGCTTAGGGCCTTGCCAAGTTGCTCAGGCTGGCCTTGATCTTGCAATCTTCCTCCCTCAGCGTCCTGAGTTATCGGGATTACAGGCATGCACCACCTGTAAGCCTGACTCAGTGTATTTTTTTCGTATTTGTTTTGTTTCTTCCATTATAATAATTTTCTTTCTTTATTCAAATCATATTCAGTCTTGAAGGCCTAGCGTAAATCTCGCATTTTAAATAAACTCCCCCTGACCACTGTAGCCACAGTGATCCCTACTCCAGTCTTTTAAATAATTAAGAACTTAAGTTTCTTTAGGTAGATTGTATACCTCTTAAAAGTGTGAGTGTGTTGGAATTTTTTTGTGTGATTTTATTTCTTCACTGATGTTTCTAGAATGCTTTTCCTCAAAAATCTCATTTATCTTTCATTTATAACTCAAATGCCATGATGTTAACACATCCCCCCTGGATTTTTTGTTGGACATCTTCCCTCAATTCATTGTAGTGCCATCTATGTTTATTTACATATCCATTCTACTGCATGTCAGAGTCTGACTTATTTTTAAGTGCATAATGGTTTGTCTCCTCCATTAGAATTTGAATGTATTAAGGATAGTGATCATATAATATTCTTTCTTATAGCCTCAGGACCCAGTACAGGGTATTGCACGTAGTATTTAATGAGGGAAAGGACATCATCTCTTTTGTAAATTGCTATTTCCTTAGCTACCAGTGCCTGTAGGAACACTAAATAATTTGGGTTGAATTTTCTATCTATTCTGTGTGTTCTGTTAAAGTGCAAAGTTTATGTTTGATTTTAATTTAAAAGAATATATATCACCTTGGGTAACTTGAGTCAGGGACTTGGTGTAGTAATTTAAATGTGTCTTTTTAAAAGGCAGCTTTTGAACCTAAATTGGAGTAAGATTAATCACCAGATTGGAAGGACCTTTAAATAAAGGAAACATAAGGGGCTGGGAATATAGCTCAGTTGGTAGAGTGCTTGCCCTGCATACACAGGACCTGGGATCAATCCCCAACACCACAAAAACAAACAAATGAGCAAAAAGTACAAAGGAAACATAAGATTTTAAATTGTCATACATGATGTTGTCTTTAATTATTAAAGATTTTTTTCTACCTTTTTCATCTATAGATTTTTTAAAAGTCATACTCATAAAACCTACTAATTTTAACACTATTTTCTTTTGATTAGGTGGATTTTATTTTGTTAGGTGGTGATCTTTTCCATGAAAATAAGCCCTCAAGAAAAACATTACATACATGCCTTGAATTATTAAGAAAATATTGTATGGGTGATCGTCCTGTACAGTTTGAAATCATTAGTGATCAATCAGTCAACTTTGGTTTTAGTAAGTAAGTATATTTATATGTTGAAGTGAATGTTACCTGCATATCTTTTCTGTAAATACTCATAAACACATTAACAATTATAGCTATTTCACTTTCACTGTAAGTTATTTGCATACTAAATATAGTTCTTTGAATTTTCTGTACATCATTGTATGAATTTGTATTGCCCTAAATAATACTGGGACTGAACATCTTCTCAGATTTTTATATCTTCTTTGATATATTCTTCTGTTTATACCCTTTGTCTGTTTTAAAAACTGGGATTTGGCTGGGTGCAGTGGCAGCTCAGGAAGCTGAGTCAGTCAGATCAAGAGTTCAAAGCCAGCCTCAGCAACATGGAGGTGCTAAGCAACTCAAAGAGACACTATCTATAAATAAAATACAAAATAGGGCTGGGAATGTGGCTCAGTGGTTGAGTTCAATCCCTGGTACCTGTCCTCAAAAAACAAAACAAAACAGAAAACCAAAAAAAAAAAAACCCTCTTGAGTTAATGGAAAATAGGTAAAAATTTGGACATAGTTGACAGAAAAGGAAATAAAATGCCATATAAAAAATAAAGCTATACTGAATTTTTTTTTTTTTTTTTTTTACTCAGATGGGCATGGATCAGTGCTTCTCAGTCATTTGTGCATGTTATAGTTACCTAGAAATACTCAAAAATGCTGGTGCCCATGCCAAGGGTCATATATCTTTTGAAGTGTGTCATGGGCATAGGTACTTCCTAAAAGATCCCCAAATGATTCTAACATGCAGCTAGGATTGAGAACCACTGGCATACAGATATATATGTATTTGAAATATGTAATGCTTTATAAATTGGTGTGTTGTTCTTGTGCTGGGGCCATGTTAATCTTCTCAGTATTTTTAGAATTTTAGTATATGTGCTGCCAAAGTGAGCACTGGCATAAAGGTTTAAAAACTTGATAACATTGTATGTTGGTGAGGTTGGGGAAGTTTTTCTCTCTTGTGCATGTCATTGTGTTAGGTGTAATTCTGAACAGCCTTTATGGAGGGAAATTGGCAGTAGCTGTCAAACTTGCAAATGCATATATTCTTTGACCCAGTAGTGTCCTTTAGGAATTTTCCTACAGATACACTCTCAACAGGGAAACTTTTCAAGATTATTAATTGTACCATTATTTATAAGAGAAAAGACTAGAAAGGATCTAAATGTACATTGATAGGGAATTGCTTAAATACAGTATCATCAGCCATATAATGAAATACATTGTGGCCACAAAAGCAGAAGTTTCTCATGAATAGTACTGCTGTGGAATGATTTTTAAAATATGTTAAATGAAATAAGTGAATATGTTACAATGAAAAAATGTGATAGAAATTGCTAACATTATTTGCCTCTGAGAAGAATAGGATGACTGGGGACAGCAGTGGACAGAAGATTAAATTGTACAGGTAGGAGGTGATAAAGCTAAGATCATTAATGTAGTTCTTTTGGATTCCAAACTATAGGTGTTTTCTCCCCTGTCCTAATGACAAATAAAAACTATACCGATGGGCTAATTTCACTTTGCATTATATTCTCCAGCTCCATCCATTTACCTGCAAATGCCATGATTTTATTCTCTTTTAATGCTAAATAATATTCCATTGTGAATATATACCACATTTTCTTTATCCATTCATATACTGAAGGGCATCTAGTTTGGTTCCACAGTTTAGCTGTTGTGAATTATGCTACTGTAAATATTGATGTGGCTGTGTCCCTATAGTATGCTGTTTTTAAGTCCTTTGAATATAGACTTATGAGAGGGATAGCTGGGTCAAATGGTGGTTCCATTCCCAATTTTTCAAGGATTCTCCTCACTGCTTTCCATATTGGCTGCACCAATTTGCAGTCCCCTCAGCAATGTATGAGTGTGCCTTTTCCCCCACATCCTCGCCGATACTTATTGTTGTTTGTCTTTATAATAGCTGCCATTCTGACTGGAGTGAGATGAAATCTTAGAGTAGTTTTGATTTGCATTTCTCTAATTGCTAAAAATGTTGAACATTTTTTCATATATTTGTTGATTGATTGTATATCTTCTGAGAAGTATCTTTTCAGTTCCTTGGCCCATTTGTTGATTGGATTATTGGTTTTTTGGGTGTTAAGGTTTTTGAGTTCTTTATGTATACTAGAGATTCATGCTGTATCTGATGTGGGTTTGGTAAGAATTTGTTCCCAATTAGTAGGCTGTCTATTCACCTCACTGATTGTTTCTTTTGATGAGAAGGAAGATTTTTAGTTCAAATCCATCCCACTTATTGATTCTTGATATTCTTGTGCTATAGGAATTTTATTAAGGAAGTTGTGAGTTAAAACAGAATAAAATCATGGTATTTGCAGGTAAATGGATGGAGCTGGAGAATATAATACTAAGTGAAACTAGCCAATCCCCAAAAAACCAAATGCTGAATGCTTTCTCTGATTTAAGGATGGTGATGCATAATATGCTGGGGTGGGGATGGGAGGATTAAATGAACTCTAGATAGGACCAAGGGGAAAAGTTGAGTGAGGGGAAGGAAGGGGAAATGGGGGTGGGAAAGATGGTGAAATGCAGTGGTCATCATTACCCTAAGTACATTTAAGAAGACATGAAGGATGTTGACTATTTTGTGTACAACCAGAGATATGAAAAATTGTGCTCTATGTGTGTAATATGAATTGTAATTCATTCTGTTGTTATTATAACAAATTAAAGTTAAAAAAGAATAAAAAACCCCATATGGAAAGGTTTTTAAATTTTTTGAGGCCTATTAATTTCCTATTAATCAACTTTATCACTCATACATTTCAGAAGCACCATTTAATGTTATTGGATTTTCATTAAAATGTAGTACTTTGTGAGATATTTTCAAGCTTTAGTTGAAATGAATTGTTATCTATGATTATATTTTCTGAAGTACTGTTAGTGGTTATCTGCCAATTTAAATTGTACAATGTGTCTATAATCGCATGCATTTTTTTTGGAAGAAAGTCTTGCAAAACAACTTTTGTCCCTTGTAGAAACTTTCAGTTTTCTTTTCTTTTTTTAAGATTTCCATGGGTGAACTACCAAGATGGCAATCTCAACATCTCAATTCCAGTGTTTAGTATTCATGGAAATCATGATGATCCTATAGGGGTAATTATTGTTTGTTGAAATTTTAGAAATGTTCAGTTTAGTTTATCTGTGGAAAGCAATCCTTTTCTTTTCCTCAGCAATTTGTAGTCAAATTTTTAGTCAAGAAGTCAAATTTGATTTGTTATCACTAATATAAGCATTTTTACTACTGCTTAGATAAAAAGAAAATCTAGAATAAGAATTGGTATATCAGCTATGCTTTCATTTGATTAGAACTGAGTTTGGCAATGAGTAGCCAGGAGGAATAAACACTTAATATTTGTGTAGTGTTTTATAGTTTACTTGTGCTTTTACATTTCTTGAGGATCTCACTTATAGGATATAATTATTTCACAAACATCTTTAAATCTAAATTAGAGTATTTTATTTCCTATTTGTCATGGAGGTAATATTAGAGGTCCTAAACTCAAGATATCTTTTTTTAAAATCTGGTCATAAATATTTTAAGTCACTTATTACCTATAGTCTTTTTCCCTAGGTTTCAAGAGGTATGCTTAAAATTACAAAGCACTTGTTTTAGGTTGATTTTTACTTTTTAGTGGCCAAGACACCACGTAGTTGTAGTGAGATGCTTACTTGGCATTTAGTGTGTGAGTCCAGTTGCTGTAGATAACTTATAGTAGAAAAAAGGTAGTGGATACTTTTAATATTGGAATTTTGAGAAGACACTATCCTAACCTATGTTTTTGTAACTACAGGTTGGATATCCCTAATCTAAAAATAAAAACCCCAAATGCTCTAAAATATGAAACTTGCTATTCAAAAAGTTTGGGACTTGGGATCATTTCTGATTTTGAATTTTCAGATTAGGAATACTCAGTTGACAAAATCTATGGAAACTTTCTAAAATCCAAAAATCTCCCACAATCTGAAATACTTCTGGTCCTAAGCATTTAGATAAGGCAGGTAGTATGTGCAGTATGCTGGTTAAAGGTAGTGTGGTATTTATGCAGAGTGTTTATTTGTACATACACATTAATATTCTTTGAAAATATTTTTCATAGGCAGATGCTCTCTGTGCCCTGGATATTTTAAGTTGTGCTGGATTTATAAATCACTTTGGACGTTCAATGTCTGTGGAGAAGATAGACATTAGTCCAGTTTTGCTTCAAAAAGGAACCACAAAAATTGCTCTATATGGTTTAGGTAAGATGGTTTCATTTTACTGTTTATATCAATAAATAATTGTTTAGCCAATTGTGAAATGGAATTTTGGACATATCTTTGTGATCCTCTGCAAAAAAGTGTAACAGATCTCCTTATTACTTGTTGGTGGTTGTAAAAAAAATGTTGGAAGATTTTGTTAAAACTTTAATAGCATTAATACGTAATAGCAATTTTGGTTAAAATATAGTTCTCCTTTAGTATCTGTTTATTGTGTTCAGTTTTTTCTTTTAAACGTATATATAGAATCCTGTATGTTAGAATTACAGAATAATTAGCAAAACTTCATTTTGGTATCTTAGAAGTCTCTGAAAGATCTAAAGCATCACTGTTCAGTATGGTAGCCACTAGCCTCATGTAGACATTGGACACTTGAAATGTAAAGTACATACTAGTTTTCAAAGACCGAGGGAAAAATGTAGAATATCTTTGCTAACAGATAAGTTGAAATTAATTTGTCTTTCTTTTTACTTGTTTTAATATGGCTACTATTAAATTTCAGATTATATATTTAGAACACATTAGTGGCTAACATGTCTGTTGGACAGTGCTAATCTAAGAGTGTCATCTCTAAAGATCAAGCATTTGCCTTATTAACTTCACTATCTTTAATTCATCCAGTGTTCAGTAGACAGAAGCTTATTTGCTAGGCTTGATTCCATGTGAATGAAAGACCAAAGACTATTTTTAAAAGAATACATTCATTATTTTATGTATTTTATGTGTCAAGTATTTTTGAGACCAGAAATAAGTGTGCTTTAAGTCCATTTAGTATGTCCTCACATCTGCTTCTACAAGTGATATAGCAGGAGGTTAAATACATTTTTTAAAAAAGCAATTAGCAGTTTCAATTACTGCAGTGTTAGAGATCATATCTCCAGAAAACAGTTTCTTCTACCTTCAGACTGAAGACAGGTCCCATTGTGCCTCTGGTACCATCAGAGACATGTCTCCTCAGTTAACCATTTTCTCCCAAAGGCTCATCTTGTCCTGTTATGCCTTCTTTAACTGGACTTTGTGTCCATCCCAACCTTCTTCCTTTCACTATAAACTCTAGAATTCTTTGTAATGAACATATCCCAGCATTGCCTGTCTCTTTTGAATGTTGCCTCTACTTTCTGACCTTCTCTGAAGCCCAGCTGGGTGTCTGAGGGTTTTAGGTCTCCTGCAGTTCTCTTACTATGGTCTTTTGGGCAGAAATGGGGATCACTCTTCTTGTTTCCCACTACTACTTTCTTTTAGACATTATGTTATTTAAAAAAAATATTATTTTCTTACTTTGGTTTAAAAAAAGAAATGCTTTTCTTCTAAATTATGCATTTCTCAAAGTATTTCATTTTACTATTAGATATATTTAAATTCTGGAATAAGTTATGTCCAAATACCCTGCTTTTTTAAAGCTCATACCTTTTGGCTAAATTGCCCTCTTTTTCCCTCAAATTCTTTTTTTGTTTTGTTTTTGTTTTGTACTGGGGATTGAACTCAGGAGCTCTTGACCACTGAGTGACATCTGTATTTTATTTAGAGACAGAGTCTCGCCAGATTGCTTAGCAACTCACCATTGCTGAGGCTAGCTTTGAATTCATGATCCTCTTGTCTCAGCCTCCTGAGCTGCTGGGATTATAGACATGAGCCACTGTGCCCAGCTTCCCCTCAAACTTTTTACCTGCCTACCTATCATCAGATTTTGTCAGCACCTGAGTAGATCAGCCTTCTAAATGCTCTGTGCATTGTATACCTTGACTTTTATCTCCAGTTATGTATATTATATATTCTACCTCAGTTGTTATTCCAATGGCCATACCAAGGTATTTACTTTGGGAGCTGGGCTACTTCTTGCTCTTATACATTGTTGTATTGATGGTTTTTCTTCTGACATCCTCTGTAATCATTATATAAAGTAGCAGCCTTGCCCCTCTTTCCCACCCGACACTGTTATTCTCCTTGTTATCATCCTGGCTTTCCTCCCTTTTTTATAATATTTACAAGTTGTTATTATTTTGTTTACTTATTTGTTTTTTGTCCTTCACTAGACGAAGGTGAGCCTGTGGTGTACATGAAATAACAAGAATTATTTGAAAAATATTGAATTATTAAAAAAGCATGATATTTTAATTTCAAATCACAATGTACATAGAAATACTGTGCTAAAATACATTTTTATCTTAACTTTTTAAATATCTGTGCATGTAATAATGTGTATCTTAGATCAAAAGTACATATGCCTATAATTTATAATAAAGAAGGGGGTGAAAAACAGTATTACTAAAGATTTTAATAAGAATTTAAGCATAAGAAACTTCCTTTTTTAGTTCATATTTCTCTGATTTTGAGGGTACATAGCCCTGAAATGAAACATGTTCTTTGAATTTATCTAACTGCTGTCATGTAAGAACCTGAAACATAACTTTTGTACATGATATCACTTATAACTTATTCCAGAATTTAAATATATCTCTAATAGTAAAATGAAATACTTTGAGAAATGCATAATTTAGAAGAAAAGCATTTCTTTTTTTAAACCAAAGTAAGAAAATAATTTTAAGATATCTAATGTCTATTTCAGGGTCCATTCCAGATGAAAGGCTTTATCGAATGTTTGTCAATAAAAAAGTAACAATGTTGAGACCAAAAGAAGATGAGAACTCTTGGTTTAATTTATTTGTGATTCATCAAAACAGGTAAAAGAATTCTCTGAACAATGTTGGGCCAAGTATTGAGGTTCCCCAAATCTGTTTCCAAGCTCACGTGCTTTAGTGAATAATGCCCTTATTCTTTCAAAGTGTCAGGCAGAATCAGGGAAACTTGGACTTGCTGCACATGGCTTATTTTGAAATTGTTTTTAATGTATATTAATTTCTATAAAAGGATATTTTTAGCATATGTATGGATGAGGCATAAGAATAACTATAAAATTAATTCAGCAAAAAGTAGAATCTTACCAGTACATTTTCCCATTCTCTTTTCATGATCTCATGTGCTTCCACATAGTCTAGGGGAAGCATTATTTTCAGCTTTGAATTAATATCCAGTGCTTTAATTTATTTTTAATCACATGTATAGCCATAATTGCTATTTTATTTAGTTTTAGTATAACTGGAATGATGCTGTATATTTTACAAACAACTTATGTTTAATATTGCATTATTGAGTTTCATTCATTTTGTTGCTTAGATTTGTACCTCATTTTTATTGTTTATGTACAGTTATTTTTTCTTCTGTCAGTGTACATTTTTATTTCCAATTATTTTGCTTTTGGGGGCATTGTATTCAGGGGCACTTGACCACTGAGCCCCATCCCCACCCCTATTTTGTATTTTATTTAGAGACAGGGTCTCACTGAGTTACTTAGTGCCTCACTTTTGCTTAGGCTGGCTTTGAACTTGAGATCTTTCTGCCTCAGCCTCCGAAGCCGCTGGGATTATAGGCATGTGCCACTGTGCCTGGCTTTTTTTTTTTTTTGCTTTTTAAAACCTTGCTGTTACAAACATTTCTTATACATGTTTTCTGGTACATATATGTAAAAGTGTCATTCTAGAATATGTAAATATAGCTGGGTCAGTTTTCTTTTGCCAGTGGTTGAAACATGTTTAATCTGTTGGTAGGGTACAGAATTGATTTTCAGGAAGAGAGACTTGAAGCAAGATTTATTATATGATTATCATAGTAGGAAATGTGAGATGGCAACAGTGATGACAGTGAAACTGAAACAGAAGAGAGAGAACTGGGATATTGTCAAGGAAGAATCCAAAGGTTTTGGGGCCTGTTATTTAATTTACTTATTGAACATGTTTATTGAATGCAGATTACTCTGCATTAGTGAATGCAGGCTTTTTCCAAGTGCGGGGTCTAAGAAGGACACAGATTTGCACTGCTTTATGTACTTTCTCAAATAAACAGTATGAGCTTCAAAGGAAAAGCCAGCCAGAGTTTTGTTTTGTGTGGTTGCCATGAAACTTTATACCATTGGGGAGGTGTTTCTTCTCTTGTGGAGCCTTCCTGGTTCTGCAACACTTTGTACTATGCCGAAGTAGAGAAAAGTTGGAAGGAAAACTCATTAAAGTGATCCAGATTTAAGCCAGCGTGAAAGATAGAAGACAACATTGATCAGAGAACAAGTAGTCAACATGATGTTGATGTGTCTCATTGCTGGTGATACTAGCCATCCTTTGATTAATCGGTATAGTTCAGATTTCTCCACTATAAAGATCCTATTTTCTACTTTGTAATTAATGAACATTTTGGGAAAAATACTTGGAGACTATCTAAATATACTTTTTCACCTTAAAATTGTCCCACTAATCTTAGCATCCACTGGGATCATCTTTATAGCAATTAATAGTGTGGTATTATAATTGTGATGTTTTTAAAATATTTTTATTCTTTCTGTATTTAGTAATTTCTTTAAAAGGAAGATTTTTTTCTTATTCCTGTCCCCCATTATTTACTTATTCATTTATACATGTCATAATGGGTTTAAGGATCATTTGTTTTACTCTTTGAGTTATAATCCAATGGATTAATCCTGCTGTGACCATTGGCGGCTCTTTTATGTTGGCTTCTGTATTATTTCACTTACCCCTTTCCTTTTCTTTTTTTAAATATTTTTTAGTTGTAAATAGACACGATAACTTTATTTATTTATCTTACTGTGGTAATGAGGATTGAACCTAGTGCTAGGTGAGTGCTCTACCACTGAGCCACAACCCCAGCCCCTCTTTCTTTTTTTGTGTATAACCTTAGCTTTTTTGCACTTCAAGATGCTGTAGTCTCTGCCAACCACTGTGGTGCACACCTGTAATCTCAGCAGCTTGGGAGGCTGAGGTAGAAGGATCTCGAACTCAAAACTAATGTCAGCAACAGCGAAGTGCTAAGCAAACTCAGTGAGACCCTGTCTTTAAATAAAATACAAATAGGGCTGGGAATATGGCTCAGTGGTTGAGTACCTCCAAATTCAATCCCTGTTACCCCCTCTCCAAAAAAGATATTGTAGTCTCACCTTGTATTTTCTTCCCTTAGCCTTGGAATCAGCCACTTCTCCAAGGAGCTCTGATTCCTTTTATTGGGAAGTAATATTTGGAAACCTACACATACCTATGTGTCTGGGTGTGCTTGTTGCTCCTGTGGCTCTCTCAGCTCTCTGAACAAACAGAGTGAAGGAAATAAAGATTTTTATATGTATAGCAATGCATGTATGTATTCACACCTGTATTTCTATTTCTGGCTATGTATGTGTTTAGAAACACAATTATAAATTCAGGCTGATTCTAATCCAGACTTACAAGGTTCATTTTTTGTCTTCTCCCTTGCCTTTTTTGTAACTTTTTTCTCTAACAGAAATCTGGATTGTGTCATCTATAATGTATTTACCTGTTTTTTTGATCCAGGTTTATATGTAAGGTAATTTCATAATTACTAAACCATAACCCTGTGAGAAACAAATTTGTCAACTAAGGTACAATATTTGTATATTTTTGTCTACAACTTTACTACATTCAGTCAAAACACCATTTTCCAAAGTTACTTACTTCCTCTTCCTCACGCTCTTCATTGTGGTTTTGTGATTTTTTTTTAATACTCTTAGATTAATTTGCCAGCCTTAGCATTCTTAGATACGTCTGTTGTTATTGTTTTCTTAAGTTGTTAAAAAACAAAAGATTTTCTCAGATTAGGTGAGAATTCTTGAATCTTCTATGCTGTGCTGCTTTTATTTGTAATTTTTTTTCCTATATTCACCATTTTTTTTTTCTTTTGCTGGGAAAGAAGGAGTGGTCTGAAGCTGAGGAGGGCTTTGTCATGCAAAATCTTTCAACTAGTATGTTTTGATCCATCTCTAGGTCACAAATCAGAGTCAGCCTACTTGAATAATCTTCCTTCTTTATTCCAGGAAAGAGCCATTGCTCCATGAAGTCACAGTGATATCATAATGTATTTGAGAATTACCTTCTTTTTCTAAGTAATTGTCATGATCTCATACCTTAGATTTTTTTTTTTTTAAGTGAGATTTGAACCCAGGAGGGCTTTACCACTGAGCTACATCCCCAGTCCTTTTTATTTTTTTGAGACAGGGTCTTGATAGTTTGCTTAGGGTCACTAAATTGCAGAGGCTGACCTTGAATTTGTGATCTTCCTGCTTCAGCCTCCAGTCACTAGGATTACAGGTCTGTTCCATCACACCCAGCAAATGTTTAATTTTTACATGAAAACATTCCAAAATACTTAAGCCTGCTGCTTCCCTGATTTCATTTCCTGTCTTCCCTGTGTTATTCCTTTCACCTATATGAATCTCCATACTGTTTCTTGGACCCATGGAACACATTCCTACTTCAGCACCTTTACCATCTGCTCTTCCTCTGCATACGGATCCCTCATCTCAATTCTCTGCTCATTTTTACTCCTCAGAGAGATATTTCCTGACTACCCCGTGTATGTAGAGTAGCATCCTTCCCTATCACTTTTCCTTTTATTTTTTTCTTATGATAAGCACCAATCACTGCTTGACAAGTTTTATTTTTATACACATATACTTATGGTATTACTGCTTGTTTCCCCCACAAGAGCAAGGATTTTGTTTACTGCTGTGTTAACTGCCTGAGGCATTTGACACATTTTAGACCTGAGTAAATATTTGTTGGTTAAGTGAATGAATATTGGTTTTGATCAAATGAATGCTAGGTTGAAATATTTGAGCATTTTCACTTAAATACCCAATGGATAATTTAATGTTGGAGAAAACCTTTTCTTTCTGTTTTCTCTTACTGGGTAATAACTTTTCTAAGTATAAAACTATGGTTTGCAAAGCACTTATTCATATAATATTTTATTTAATATTGAAAAACTCTTATTTCTTGTTGACAGTTTGTCTCATGATTTTTATAATCCATAAAAGAAACAGATATGTTAAAAAATGATTGGTCAGCTGGTGGTGCATGCCTGTAGCCTGGTCAACCTTGGAGGCTGAGGCAGGAGGACCTCAAGTTTGAGGTAAAGAACCCCTGGGTTCAATTCCCAGTCCCCACCTCCAAAAAAAAAAAAAAGGTTTGGACACATTTAGAAATTTGTTTTTATACTACAAAATTTAGATTTATTTTATTTTCTGCCTTCTTTTTTTTGGGGGGGTGCATATAATGAGATCAGTTTGTGGATTTTTTTGGTGGGGGGCATGGAGGATTGAACTCAGGGGCACTTGGCTGCTGAGCCACATCCCCAATCCTGTTTTGTTTTTGTTTTATATTTTAATTTATATATGACAGCAGAATGCATTATAATTCTTATTACACATATAGAACACAATTTTTCATATCTAGTATATTCACACCAGTTCATATCTTCATATCTGTACTTGGGATAATAATGATCATCACATTCCACCATCATTAATAACCCTGTGTTCCCTCCCTTCCCCTCCCACCCTTCTTCCCTATCTAGAGTTTATCTATTCCTCCCATGCTCCCGCTCCCTATCCCACTATGAATCAGCCTCCTTATATCAGAGAAAATATTCGGCATTTGTTTTTTTGGGATTGGCTAACTTCATTTAGCATTATCTTCTCTAACTCCATCCATTTACCTGCAAATGCCATGGTTTTATTCTTTTTTATTAATTAGTAATATTTCATTGTGTATATATGCCACATATTTTTTATCCATTCATCTATTGAAAGGCATCTAGGTTGGTTCCATAGTTTAGCTGTTGTGAATTGTGTTGCTATAAACTTGATGTGGCTATGTCCCTGTAGTATGTTGTTTTATTTAAGTCCTTTGGGTATAGACCTAGAAGAGAGAGAACTGGGTCAAATGGTGGTTCCATTCCCAATTTTCCAAGAAATCTCCATACTGCTTTCCATATTGGCTGCACCAATTTGCAGTCTCAACAGCAGTGTATGAGTTTACCCCCCACCCATCCTGTTTAGAAACAGGGTCTCTCACTGAGTGAGTTGCTTAGTGTCTTGCTTTTTGCTGAAGCTGGCTTTGAACTCACAATCCTCCTGCCTCAGCCTCCTGAACTGGTGGGATTACATATGTGTGTGTGCCACCAAGCCCAGCTCAGTTTGTGGATTTTTCTTATTGTCAGTGCTCATGCTTTCCTGACTTGACCAAAGCTGGGGAACCTTTCTCTGTAAAGCCTTTTGTGACTCCTTGAATGTAGGGTTGACCACCTTCTCTTGACATCCTATTTGACTGTGCTCTGCTAGTCTGTCACTACCTAAAAGTAAAAAACTAGATATTGATTATCTTTGTATTCCCAATCTCATGGTAAGTTTTTGGCACAAAGAATGATATAATATATCATAAGTGAATAGAGAAAAATCTGTATAGTCTTAGTTAATATGGAATTATTCTATATTGCTATGAATTTATATTATTTATTTTTTTAAAAATCTTGATATAGGAGTAAACATGGAAGTACAAACTTCATTCCAGAACAGTTTTTGGATGACTTCATTGATCTTGTTATTTGGGGCCATGAACATGAGTGTAAAATAGCTCCGACCAAAAATGAGCAGCAGCTCTTTTATGTATCACAACCTGGAAGCTCAGTGGTTACTTCTCTTTCCCCAGGAGAAGCTGTGAAGAAGTGAGTCATTGTTACATGTTTCAAATCAATTTTAAAGAAATCCTTGTTGTAATAATCTCTTAATTATCCCATGGGTTCAAGGTATTGGCAATATAAGAAAGATTTATTTGTGAATGTTGGTTATTCTATGTGGTTTTACTGTTTTCCCAGATTTTAAGCCATCTTCAACAAGGAAACATCCATTTGATGTTGATTTTGCCATTCATTAGGCAAATTCAAACCTAACATTTTTATTAAGTTTTAAATATAACGCTATGTTGATGGCTGCTAATTTCATAAAATTCATTTATAAACAAAATCCCATAAAGTCACTTAATTGTGATTTTTCTAGTTACAAATGCAATAAGATAATATATTTAATCTCTTTTTGACAGAGTGATGTGATTTTAAAAAGTAGTTAACAGTGACTAAACTCCATTTTTAAGGGATTTTAATCTAGGGATCTATTGACATTCAGATTGTTATAATAGGAGGTTTATAGGATGTATGTTTGTTTTTTCCCCCTTTGTAGTTCTGCTGTAAATTAATTTTATTATTGTCCTGATAACATTTTATTATACTTAGGTCTATCTTTCCTTATAAGACTGTAATTTGTTTAGACAGGAAAAATAATGAATGAGTGAATTTTATTCTGAGAAAGAAGGTTTACCATTTTTTTCCTGTGAAAATGACGTTAAGATTAAACTGAGAAAAACATTTATTTTTAAGGATATAATTTTGTAAGGAAATATTTTATAGAAAGTTAGAAATTAATTTTCTGGGGAAATAAATGTTGTAGTTAAGCTTCCAGTTTTCTCCCTTTTCAGACACGTTGGTTTGCTCCGTGTTAAAGGGAGGAAGATGAATATGCAGAAGATCCCTCTTGGTACTGTGCGGCAGTTTTTTATGGAGGATGTTGTTCTGGCTAATCATACAGATATTTTTAACCCAGATAATCCTAAAGTAACCCAAGCCATACAAAGCTTCTGTTTGGAGAAGGTAATTCTTTTAGATGAAGTCAATGAGATATACATTGGTTGAGAAATTATTTACCTTCAATAAAGTAATTTAGTAGAGGGAAGCCTTTGTATTTATTATATTCTCATGAAGCTGATAAGACTTTAATTAAACCTTTGTCTCAGTTTCTTTCCTTCTTTTAAAAAAAGTACTTATAATCATTTTCTTCTTTTTAATCCTGACTTGATAATTGGCTTGTCTTCACTTATGAGACTGGGCAGTGACTCTGATTGGCAGTGGGAGGATATTGTGGTATGTAGCTTCTCTAGTAATCTCCATTTGGCATACCTTTCACCCTGATGTCTGCCCCACAGAAAATCTTAAAATGTGTTTGCTTTATTCCCTACAGCTTCAGTATAAGCCCCATCTTCCCTTTCTGTGTGACTTGCCACTCATAAACCCCTGTAGAAAATCGAACCCCTACTAAAGTAAAGTTGGGTGAATGCTTTTAATAATATGTAGGTTGACAACAACATTAATTGCTGACATTCAGTTCTTTGTGCCAGCTTTTCTACTTCACATTTTATTCTTTTAAAAATCATTTAGGGTAATAATGACAATAATAATAATTGTGAACACTAATATTTACTGACTGCCTCTATATGCTGTGCACTCTGGACAGCATTTTGCATTAAATCCATCTAACTATGTTCTAGGCAGTTAGGGTCTACCTTTATTTTTATTTTCTTGCAGTTTCGGGGATCAGACCTAGGACCTCCTGCCTGGTAGGCAAGCACTGTCATTGATCTGTACCTCCAGCCCTACTACTCACAATCTATGTACAATGAGTTGAACCTTAGATAAAGTAATTTGTCCAGTGTCAGAGCTACATGAGCAATGTATAGCTTATATAACTAAAAAGTTTTAAGAGTATGTTGGTGTCAAGGAGATTGATTCCAGAAATTCAAACTTAAAGTTGTGGGTTTCTCTCTGTTTTTATGGCCTCTGCTACCACTCACACTTATGGTTTCTATGCTAAACTTCACTTTATGGAAGACATTCTCACATGCTGGTCCACAGACTTCTGTTATTGTTATAGCTGGAAGAATTATTTTTCCCAGTAGTTCCAAATAAACCCTGAACATTGAATTTTACTCCTTGGGGTAAGCACAATTCCTGAATCAGGGGGATGAAAAGTACATGGATTGATTTTGAATTAATTATATTCCTTGCCTCAACCCTGGCTCAAATAACATTTTAGATTATATGTTTCTTTGTTGTGGGAAGCTATTCTGTACATTATAGTATGTTTAGCAGTGTTCTCCTTGGCCTTAGTAGACGCCAGTAGCTCCTTTTTCCCCCAGACATGAATTAACTGTTTCCAGATTTTGACAATGTCCCTGATTGAGATCCGTGGACTTGGAATGGTCACATGACCAGCAAAAGTAAAAAGGATCCACTTTAAACACCTGGGTGTACACATAACCTTGTTACATTTGTATGCTATTGTGTTTCTTTTTTTATACTTAATTATATCATTGTTTATATGCATGTGAGGACAAGGCCCATCTTTTAACTTTTCCGTCTTAGCACATGTCCAAATACTTGGCTATAGGTCCTCTATAAATGCTCATTGAATTGAAATAATTTATCTAGATCATACTCTTATAGCTCTGTGTTTTCAGGATGGTAGTTAGTAGCACATGTAACTATTTAAATATAATTAATTAAAATTAAATTAAAAATTCACTTCTTCATTGTACCAAGTACATTCCAGGCGCTGTCTCTGAATATGTGTGGTTTATGGCAACCATACTGAATACTACGGATGTAAAACCTCATCATTGAAAGTTATTTTGGGCTGCATTGTTACAGATAATTTGAAGGACAGATTATAATATTTTAGGACTGGAAGAGATTTAAGGACAAAAATACTTGTTCTATTATTATTCCTGAGGAGGGAACCAAGTTACAGGGAGTACTATAGGAATCATTTTCAAAAAGGTTGTGTTCATGGTGATTGGGTAACTTCCAGAGGACTTCAGCTGTTAGAAAGTTACTGTATTAAAATTCGTCTACTTATATCTCAGTTCTGACCTTAGAACAATTTAGGACAAGTATTATACCATGAGATAGCTTCAGATATTTGAAATATTTTTCTTATTTTATTTTAGCTTGAACTTTTTCAAAGGAAATAATCCAAGAGCCTTTGGTTATAGAATCCTACATATTCTGCCTGATCTGACTGAAAAATCTAGGTTTATTTGCTTTTAAGTTAATAAAATGAGGCCTAAGTCATATCAAAACATGAATAGAAAGTTGGAGCAGAAGCAGTGTTTTAAACTTTCTTATAAAAAAATACAGAGATTGAAAAATTATTAAGAACTTTCATAAAAGAAAAACATTAATCAGAGCATTACTAGAAGTTATATTTTAAAAGGTGTTATAAATAACCTAGGAAATGAAGATGACTGTGTAATGCAGGAAAGTTCCTGTGGTAGGAATATGAACTATTATTCAACTGATTTATACTAAATGTACTTTCTTTTATTTAATTTTTATTTTGAGATTGAAGAAATGCTTGAAAATGCTGAACGGGAACGTCTGGGAAATTCTCGACAGCCAGAGAAGCCTCTTATACGACTTCGAGTAAGTCTTTTTTACATGATTAAGCTTTATTAATTTTCAAATTCTAGTAATGTACAGTTTTTGTGGTCCTTAAGCCATATTACTTGGTATTGGCATCAACTGGGAAATTATTGAAAAAATGCAGAATCTTAGGCCTCATGTCAGACCCATTGCCTTTTAGTAAAATTCCCAAGAGATTTGTCTACACATTAAAATTTGAGGGGTCTTGGGATGTAGGATGCAGGGGTAAAGATTACAGTTTAAAGCTAGACTGTTTGGGTTTGATTCTGGCCCTTTCACTAGTTGTATGACTTCACACAACTGGATCTTTTGTTTGTTGATTTGTATTTCATAAGTTTTTGAGATCCAAATGAATTATATAGTGAGTGGTGTACAAAAAGTAATCTGGTCCCCTTTCTCTCTCCCACTGTCATTGCTGTAGTTGAGCCCTTATTATCACTTACAGGCCTGCTGCTGCAACATCCTACCTGAACTCAACTTTCACTTCCCTTTTCACTCTGCCAACTAGCCTTTTCTCCACACTAATGCCAACAGGATCTTTGTAAAACACAATCTTGCATGGCTTTCCTTCTGGACACAGTTTAATATAATTTCCTAGCACTAACAGGAACAAGTCAAAACTTTTGAGGGGGTAGCACTAGGGTGTTTATAGAACCTGGTCTAAACCAGCCTCTTAGGCTTTTTCCTCCTAAGCATGTTCTTAAGCTCTAGTCATATTGGACTAAAATGACTGGTCCTGTGCCTGGTGAAGTTCACTTGAACCTTTTGCCTGTGCCAATCCTGTGTGGAATGCACTTCCTTGCTCCTGGCTTTTTGTCTCCTTCAGCAACCATTTAAAGCCTGTCTCTCCACAGAAACCTTTCTGGGTCTCCCCTCCAATTTGAAGTTTCTTCCTTTGTGTCCTCATTCTACTTTGTTCATATCTTTTATAGTACAATTTACATTCTGCATGCAATTATTTATATTTGTCTTCCCGGTCAGTGTGTAAATTTCTTGACAACCAAGATTGTGTTTTGTTCATGATTGTGTCCCTAACCCTTAACAGAGTACTCTGTACCAGAACATTGAAGACACCCAGTAAAGTTTGTTTAGTGAACAAGTTTTGTAATTTTTATGAGCAGAAAATTAAAAATAAATCTAGGCTAGAGTATGTCTAAGGAGTTTGGGAGATACCCAGTTGCCTCTGCATTTAGTACTTTTAGAACATGGCAGCAGAAGAGATGATCTGGGTTATACAAAGAAGGTTACTTTAAATGAACAACATAGTTCTCTTCATCAGGACAAAAGATACCATGTTTCTCATTTATGTCTGTCTGATAACTTTAGAACCAACCATTTAAATAGCAAATTGGCATTCTTTTTCTAAACACAGTAAATTATTTATTCATTCATGAAATAAAGGATCAGATATTATTGTGTAAGTCGTATGACAAAATACGTTGTACCCATTAGAGGGTCCTTATTAATTCATTGAACAAATCTCAGAGTACCTGTGTTATGGATGTTGGAGGACATGCAACTTGCATGGCTGTTAATTCAGAAAAACTGGTGAGGGGTGATGGGAGCTTAGAAAAGACAAACAGACATAGAGAGCCGCAACCAGATGGGACATTACCCTCTAATGGAGGTGTAACAATACAGAGCTAGCTCAACACATTTATTAAATAGGTTTTAACATCAAAAGGATTTTCTGTGAGAAAGTTTCTTCAAAGCAAGCAGGTTGAAAGACAAAGTTCTGCAAGAAAAGACCACTGACTCCAATTAAAATCAAATTAAAGCAAGCTTATTATTTCGACCGGCCGGGCTGCCTTTCCCATCAAAATCGTGGGAGCCAAGGACAGCTGCAAAGCTTCCTTGCAGCCCAGTTTTATAGCCCAAAAAGTTACACAAAGGGGGGTTATAGATAACAAAACTCTGGGGAACATAACACAAGTTTACATTTTTGCTGGCCTCGACATCAGAATTTATGGAGGTCGTTAGAGCCTCTGAGAGGGTCCTTATCTGGCTAGGGAAGGCCAGAATTTATGAGGCGTCACTAAGGTTTAGGAAAGGGTTGTTTTCTGGTCAGGGAAAACCGGGCATGGGTGAGTTCAAGGCACGGGCAGGCATTCCAAGCAGCTTTACAACATCAACTAATGGCCAGGCTATACAGACATCCTAATATTTTTACAGAAAACAGAAATGAATCCTTCATAACTTGTGACAAGCTGGCTTCTGATCTAAAGAGAGAATTAGGCTTAGGTATATCAGGTATCCAGTTATAATTATCTTTTTTGCACTCATAATCCTCTATCCCCCACAGCTGGTGTCTGAATTTAGGGTCAAGACTGATAATGCCATGCTATACACAGAACCTCCTTGCTGGTGGGGGGGGGGCATCACCATAGCAACTGGGCAGTCTTAACCTGTAGCCTTTGCACAGGAAGTTCCCAGCACAGGTGTGCTCCTGCCACAGGACAATAAGAGACTGTGATTCAAATCACTTCTCCTGACAAGGACACAGTGATTTTTTTTGTTTTGTTTTTTTGTTTAAGTGATACTGGTGATTGAATGTAGGGATACTCACCAACCTACACCTCCAGCTATTTTTATTTTTTCAGACAGAGTCTGGCTAAGTTACCAAGATGGGTATGGAACATGAAATCCTTGTCTCTGACTCCTGACTTGCTAGGGTGGCAGGTGTGCACCACTACACCTTGCCATAGAGATGGTTTAAAGAAGATATGGCTTTGAACTTGAGCTTATAGGAGGTAGAGGAATGAAGGGAGACATAGTAAATATCAAATAAATGAACATAATGAATAAAAAGATGGTGCCAATTGTGATGAAGAGTGTGGGTGGGGTCATGATCAGGTCAGGAGTATTCTGGTTAGGCTGTGTGATGCTGGTCCCAGAGCATGCGCTGAGAATAGCTAATTTAGTGAGTGTATCTCCTCAGGGGAAAGCTGTGTTTCTCTTTGTAAAGGACTATTTACCATTGTAGACTTTTCTAGAATAGTCTTCCTTGAGAGTTATTATTTCCATTGAGCTAACCATCTTTTGAAGGTAATCATTTCCTATAGACTTATTCTTTTCTACTTGGATTTCCCCAGTATTTGTCCTTGCCCAGTTTGAAGATATACATATCCCTGAGATGATAGACCAAGGAACTAATGCCCTAGGGCTGGTGTTTTGTTGTATTAGAGGTCTTTTTTGTTTGAAAGTTTAGAAATTTGTTTAGAAATTCCATCTCCTTTTCAGATAGTACTCATAGTGGGTACCTAAACTTTGTTGTCATTGGAGATGTAATAATTCCAGCATTGTGGAAATCTTTGCTGTAACCTGGATCCATCAAAATATTTTGCTTTTTTTAGTGGGGATTGAACCCAGGGGTATTTAACTGCTGAGCCATATCCCTAGCATTCCCTTTCTTAAACTTTTTATTTTGAGATGGGATCTTGCTAAGTTGTTTAAGTATTAGTTGCTAATACTGGCATTGAACTTAGGATCTTCCTGCCTCAGCCACCTGAGCCACTGGGATTACCGGTGTACACCACTGTGCCCAAACTATTTTGCTTTTAAGTTTATGAACCTTCCAAGCATTATTTTCTCAATTGAATAAATGGTATAATACCAATTTGATCTTTAAAATATATTATAGAAAAGTAATTTTTACAAATTTAAAAGTATGGATAAGTAAATATAAAAATGCCAAATATAAATACTGAAGAATGAGTGTGTTTCTCAAAAATTGGCAAATTGTTTCCTGGCTTTCATATGTTATTCTGTATTTCAGGTGGACTATAGTGGAGGTTTTGAACCTTTCAATGTTCTTCGCTTTAGCCAGAAATTTGTGGATCGAGTAGCTAATCCAAAAGATGTTATCCATTTCTTCAGGCATAGAGAACAAAAAGAAAAAACAGGTAAGCTAGTTATTTTTATAAATTAAAGAATGCTATTGTAAGACTTTTATAAATCTGTCTTTGACAAAAGAAAATAAAATAGTTATAGAAGATGTTTTAGTTTATTGTAATATCTTAGACAAAAAAAAAAGATGGTTGGAATAATTAAATCTTTTTCTTCTACAAATTAGTTGTTATTTTTTTAAACCTGTGGATTATGAAGAAATGGAAAACTGTCTTTGTAAATATAGTTTTTCTAAACAGTTTTGCTGAGTAATAACATATATAGACTTTAGATGTTATTGTTCAAAATAAATTCTGATAAAGGTGTATTAAGAATTGTAATGCAGGGCTGGGGATGGGGCTCAAGCGGTATCGCGCTCGCCTGCCATGTGTGTGGCCCGGGTTCGATCCTCAGCACCACATACAAACAAAGATATTGTGTCCGCCAAGAACTAAAAAATAAAAAATAAATATTTAAAAATTCTCTCTCTCTCTTAAAAAAAAAAAAGAATTGTAATGCAAAAACAAAAACAAAGCACAAAATAAATATTTGCTACTTTCTATGCAGTATTAATGTCCAGGTAATACATTGGCAAATTATGCATTATTAAGTATTTTGATACTGGTGTGTTCAGTGGATCAGGAAGTTATCAGGCTTTTTGAAAATAAGAAGTATCCTGTAATTTGGTGTTTTCTGATAATGTAGGTAATTAATTTCTAATTAAATTTTATAAAATCTAATTGCCCTTTTTAACATTTATAAAACTAAGTCATTGGTTGAAATAGTGCTGTTTCATAAAAAGTATTGATCATGTTAAACGTATAGACTCTTCTCTTCAGAGCTATTGAATAAGAGAATTTTCATGGTAACATGTACCTGTTTAAAAGTTACTGTTTTTTTTTAATTTTTTTTGGTGGTGCTGGGGATTGAACCCAGGGCCTTGTGCATGTGAGGCAAGCACTCTACCAACTGAGCTATATCCCTAGCCCTACTCTGATTTTTATTAGCTCAGATTTAATGGGTTTCTATTTTCACAGTCAGCTTATTTCTACTATTTTATAGGAAAGAAATCCAAACCAGAGAATCATATTTTTATACTATGAAATTGAATTAATTGCTTAGTTTTTTTTTGTTTGACTTTCATTTTATATATTTATTTATTACTTATTTATATGCAGTGCTGAGAATCAAACTCAGTACCTCACACATGCTAGGCAAGCACTCTACCACTGAGCCACAACTCTAGCCTGATTTAATTGCTTCTTGATAATTATTTACTTTAATTGTGCATCCTTATCAATTCCTTGAAAGATCATGAATATAGCATTCATAAGAAAACAGAATTATAACAGTACCTTATTTAGTTGAGTTTTGTCTCTGGTGAGTTGTAGTCTGTTGATTTTCCTTTTTGTTTATACTTAAATTGCTTATAAATTGTTTATACTTTAATTGCTTATAAAAACCTAATGGTTTTACCCATGATTGCTTTTGTATATTAGTGCAAATGTCCATACAGTGAAAAAGGCAATGTCTTAGTATTATATTATCATGAAAGTTGTTTTGACTTTATGCATTTCCTGAAAGGGTCTTGGGGACCTCCCGACGTCTGGGAACCATTTCGTGAGAACAGCTGTAAGAGACCTACTCCTTGGAGATATGGAAAGGGAATACTAACTGTGGGAAAAGACTGTAGCTATTAGTAAAAGTGGCTGGAGTGTCTTGAAATGTACTATATTGGGCAAGCTGGCAGTTGATAAGAGTTAGGCCTTACCTCCTCACTGACAGCAACCTGCAGTGAGTTTAGCCACTTTAACATATTAGTAGAAGCTGCTATTTTTTTGATGGACTTATTTTTCTAGGAGAAGAGATCAACTTTGGGAAGCTTATCACAAAACCTTCAGAAGGAACAACTCTCAGGGTAGAAGACCTTGTCAAACAGTATTTTCAGACTGCAGAGAAGGTAATTTCTTATAATTTACATTTTGAATAATGACTATTTTATAATAACAGATTTTAATACATATAATCGATAGTCAAACAAAATGAATCCTCACTGTGTTGCCATGAGTAAGTAGAGTGACATTTAGTTACATTCATTTGTAGTTACTGTATATCAAGAAAAACTAATGCTTAGTTCATGGTTATTAATATAATTGTTTTTTTTTTTTTTTTTTTTTTTTTTTTGGGGGACGTATTTGTATTTTATTTAGAGACAGGGTCTCATTGAGTTGCCTAATGCCTCACTTTGCTAAGGCTGTCTTTGAACTTGTGATCCTCCTGCTCAGCCTCCCAGGCCACTGGGATTACAGGCATGTGCCCAGCTTAATATCATTATTAATGTGATATTTTTAATGTGTGTTTTTATTGTATTATTGTTTTTATCCTCTTTCTTTTTTGTCTCTATTGCAAAAGTCAGTCCAGGATTTGATTTTCTCTTAATTTGGATGTAATTTCAGAATTACTTTACAAATACAGCCACATGATGGTGAAGCTACTAAATTTAACCGTTTGAGTAAATTCTCCACTCTAAGAGTCTCTGGTTGTATAAAAATAACAGTTTTGTTATGTGATCTGAGATCTGTTAGTCAGAAATCTGACACAGATCTCACTGGACTAAAGTCCAGGTGTCAGCAGGGCTGTGTTACTTTCTGGAAGCTCTATGGAAGAATATTTTTTCCAATTTCTAGAGGTGTCTGTGTTTCTTGATCTTGGTCCCCTTCATCCATCTTCAAAGGCAGCAATGTTGTATCTCTGGCCATTTTCCCACAATTATATTTCCTTCTGACCCCCTCCTTCTGCCTCCTCCTTTCCTTTTCTTGACTCTATGATTATACTGGGTGGTCCTGGACAGTCCTAATAATCTCCTTGTTTTACAGTCAGCTGGTTAGCAGTCTTCATTTTCTACAACTTTAATTTTCACTTGCTGTGTAACATATTCACCTAATCTCTTATTAATCTACAGTGCTATTTCTGGACCCCAGCCATTCAGGCCTCTGCATCTTTACCTGTCCTGGGCTCCCCTTCCTTTTCTTGGTTTGAGTTTGCTTTTTTGACCCTTAATTTTTGTCAGTAGGCTAGATTACTATCTACCAATTTTGTTTTTCCTTCAATAGCTAGGTAACTTGTTTGTCTCTGATAACATTATTCTGTAATTTTCCTTGCTGATAGGTACTTATTTTTAAAAGGAATAGATAATATTTCTGCAAATAGTGGTTTGTTTTTCTTACAGAATGTTCAACTCTCACTGCTAACAGAAAGAGGGATGGGTGAGGCAGTACAAGAATTTGTGGACAAGGAAGAGAAGGATGCCATTGAGGAATTAGTGAAATACCAGTTGGAAAAAACACAGCGATTTCTTAAAGAACGTCATATCGATGCCCTAGAAGATAAAATTGATGAAGAGGTGAGTAACTAATTTGGGTGTGTAGGCCTATTTAGACAGTCTCTCCTAAGAGTAGATCTGAGTTTTTTTCTGATAAACCACTATTTAACCTTTCTGATTTGTTCAGTTTCCTCAGCAATAAAGATGAGATATTAAGATGAAGATTAAACTAAAATGTCTAATATCTAGAAAGTACCTAGAACAGTCATTTACATGTGGTTGGACCTCATGATTTAGTTTTATTCCCTTAGAAAATATCTTGTCCTGAAGATGAGCCTTGTAGGATGAAAATTCCTCTTTATTTCACTGCTTTAATAAGTTTTGATTGAGCTTTAGAGTCTCATCTACAACATGCATTCTCTCTAAGCATAAAGGCACCAGAAGAATCACAGAAGAACATTCTTCAGATTCGACTATTAGATGTTTAAATGTTTGCATGCCAAAGTGTCAGAAAGCAAAATTAAAAGGTATTGACATGGCAATATTTGTATGTGGGCAGAAGAAAGGTTAATATTCTTAATATTAAATAGCTATAATAAATCTTTAAAAATATTAAATATTCCAATAGGATAATGAACAAAGGACATGAATAGGTGGTTCACTAAAGAAATATAAATGCCTAATAAGCATATGAAAATGGTGGTTAGCCAAGGATAATCAAAGAAATTTAGATTAATTAAATGTATTTTTTATTTGTCAAATTGGGAATGATTTGAGAAAAATAGTAGTTAGAATACTGCTGATGAGAGGATTATGTTCAGATAGCTTTACTGAGAAGCATTTTGGTAGTGTGTATGAAGAAGCTCAAGATTTACTATTTAAACTGGGAAATTTTCCTAAGAAAATAGTATGATAGAGATTTGTATATGGAATAATTATTCTTAGTGTTATCCACAGTGAAGAATAATTGGAAATGTCTTGTTACATTTGGTGTTGGAACATTCACAGTATAGAATTCATTACAGCCATGAAAAATTACATTTTTTAAGAACTTGGAAAAATATTTCCAATATAATGTTAAGTGGGAAAATAATTTTAAGGATGTAGAGCTATACACAATATTATCCTCCTTATTTTTATTGTATACAAGAGTGTATGTGTATGCATGTATATAAAAGTTGGAAGTATTCCAGTATACTATCAACAGTTACATTTAGGCATTTGTATTATAGGCGTTCACCTTTTCTATTCCCCTTAAACAGAAGAATAAAGCATTGTTTTAAAAACACATTACCTTTGGGTTTTCCTTTCTTGAATTTACTTAACATGGTTTTCTTAAAATCTTATGATGTTATTATGTAACTAGTTTTACTCAATGACAAGTATTTTTAAAATTCAGGCATGTAAACCATACTCCAAAACTACCTAGTCTGTCCCAGTATATGTGTTATGTTTTGAGTTTTTAGTACAGGTAGATTCCTCAGGTGAGTATCCACAATAAAACATGACCCTCCCTAAGTGACACCTTGACTCCTGAGCTGCAGAAGGCTCCCAGCATGTGTGTAGGATGGTGGCTAAGAGCATGCACTGTGGGCCAGACCACCTGTATTTGATATGAAAATCCTTATTAGCTGTGCACCCATCAGTGAGTTCTCCAACCTCCCTGTGCCTCAGTTTCCTCATCTATAAGATGGAGATAATAATGGAACCTCCTTCAGTATTGTGAGGATTAAAAGAATGAGTGCCTGGTAAATCCTCAGATGCTGCCAGACAGTGCCTGCTCGGTGTGTTTTTTGTGACTTTTGATTCTCTTTTACAAATAGTGGCACTTTTGGTATGCTATATATCATCTGGACACTATTACATAGTATGTCATCTTTTTAAAAGATTATTATTTCTGCATTCCTCCCTGAATCATAACAAACATACTGATCTTTATGCTTAAAAAACAAACAATTCTGCATCCCATTTCCCTTTAGCTACTGTACTGTTTCTTTGTTCCTCTTTTACATAAGAATTGCTTCAGAGAGTTTTCTCCCTTATTTTCATTTTAAAACCATCCGTCAACCTCATATATATATATGTTTTAAATTGTTGATGGACCTTTACTTTATTTATTAATTTATTTATATGTGGTGCTGAGAATAGAACCCAGTGCCTCACACATGCTAGGCAAGTGCTCTACTACTGAGCTATAACCCCAGTCCTCCATCAAGCTTTTGACCCATCATTCCTGTGAAGCTGCTCTTTTTGGGGTCACTGGTGACCTCCATTGCTAAATCTACTGTCATTGTTCTACCTTAAATGTCCCTGGGCCTCTTCATGAGACATTCTCTTCAGTAGCTTCCAGGACTCCACACTGTTAAGGGATTTTTCCTGCCTCATTGGCTGTGTATTCCTAATCTCTATTCTTGATTCCTCTCATCTCTCCATCCTCTTAATTAGAGTCCCCAGAACTGTCTTTGGACCCCTTCTTCAAATTTACATCCTCTTTATAACCTTGTCCAGCCTGGCATTTGGTGGTTATTTTCAAAAGTCTAGCCCAAATCTTTCCTCTTAGATCAAGACTTGCATAGTTAACAGTCTGCTAGACATTTCCAGCTGCATATTTAATCGGCATTTCAAACTTGTAACAGTCCTAAGTTTAGTGGCTCATCCTCACACTCTGCTTTCAGACCTGCTGTCCTTTTACAGTTCTAGTGTAAGCACCACTCTTTCAGTTACTGAGCCAAAAACTTTTAAGTCATCCTTGATTCCTGTCCTTCTGTCACCTGTTTTCTGACTGTCTAGAAATCCTTTGGGCTCCACTGTTAGAATGTATGCAGTATCTGACTACTACTTTTTTTAAAATTAAATTATTTATTTATTCTAATTTGTTATATATGATGGCAGAATGCAATTTATTTCATATTACACATATGGGGCAATTTTTTACTCACTGGTTGTACACAAAGCATTTTCACACCATTCGTGTCTTCAAAAGTGTACTTAGGGTAATGATGTCCAACTCATTCCACCGTCTTTTCTACTCTGACTACTCTTACTACCTGTAATACTACAATCACAGTCCAAGGCAATTTTGGGGATTTTCCCAGTAGCTTCCAAACTGATCTGCCTTCTCCTACCCTTCCTCTTCTTCCAGTGCTCCTCCATTTCTGTCCTTAATTCAGCTGTTTAGTGATCCTAACAGATTATGAATCTAGTAACTCCTGCCTTTAAAACAAACAAACAAAAAACTTACAATTGCTTACAAAGCTTTATTCAATCTGGCTTTCTATTATTTCTTTATCTTCTGTCTGCTCTAGCTGCAGTGACTTCCTTGCAGTGCACATACCTTTTCCTTTGATTTTAATGATTTTCCCTAAGTATTTTCTTGATTCATGCCTCACCCTTAACATCTTCACTATTATATGATCTTTGCCCTGAGGCCTTTGTGATAATTCTTTTCACAAAGATGCAACACCTCCCTAGCACTCCCTGTCTCTCTTCCTGTTTTGTTTTCCTCTGAGCACTTAACAGGCTTTTTGCAAAGATTTCACAGGTTTAAATTTTTGAAAGGATTCACAAGACTTCTGGGAGCACATTCACTTAAGGTTTTTAAAGGTAAAGAGTATATAGTAAAATAAGAAGTAAGGCATCTGTTGGAATCTGAAGGACACCAGGCATGAGCGCTCCAAGGCCACATTCACAAACAGTGGTTCGTGGATTGAGCAGCAAGATTTGTGCAGGTGTTCCCAAGGAGTAACCCCCCCCCACACACACACACACCCCTTTTGTACCAGGGATTAAACCCAGGGGCACTTAACCACTAAGCCACATCCTTGTCTCTTTTTATTTTTCATTTTGAGGCAGGGTCTCACAAAGTTGCTTAAGGCCTCACTGAGTTGGTGAAGCTGCTTTGAATTTATGATCCTCCTGCCTTAGCCTCTGGAGCTGCTGGGGTTATAGGTGTGCTACACTGTGCCTGGCTCCAAGTAGTCCTTCTGTGCCCTCTGTCCACATAATCAAGGTCATGTGATCATAATGTGTAGGTTGAATCCATCAGTAAATGCATTGACCCTGAGGATGCCAAAGGCTCCCATAGGATAAGCCTTTCCAGTGTTAATTTTATTAACTGGATCCTGGATACCTTCTAAATAACAATATAACTTCTTGTTTTGTTATTGGCTGTCCTCCCTTCTTTTCCATATACTCACTAGATTGTCACCTCTGTGAAGGCAGCAGAGTTTTTTTTTTTACTATTTTTGTTTTCTTGTTTTCTACAATAGTGCCTGGCACATAGTGGGTACTCAATACCTAAATATGTGCTGAGTACATTGTTAAATAAATGGGGCTTGTCTCTAGCTATGTAAGATCCTTGTGAGCAGGATCCATTAAAACATGGGATTTGTAGTTCCCCTCTTGGGTCCAGAGCCACAGTCAGCAAATATTTAGTAGTTGACCATTAACAAATATGGATCTTTAGGGACCCACTCACTTCAGATACTGTTTTAGAGAGCCTCCTATGTGTTTTGCAGCCATGTGTACAAGAGTGAATTGAGGAATGTAATAAATATTTCAAGACATGTAAAAGAGAAATACTTGTTTTTAACTATTTACTGAAATATATATCCATTGGATATTAGGAACTTTTTTCTTTGCAGTCTTACAGACTTTTTCAGTAACATGGAACATTTTGGCTTCTGGTAATGTAATTTTTCTGAGAGAGAGAGAACTTCAGAGAGAAAAAAAAAAAAATATATATATATATATATGTATATATATGAATACACACGTATTTACTTCAGAAAACATTTCTAGCATTTTAATTTAAGTAACTGGAAAAATATGACTTTAATCAGTCTTTTGTGAGACAAACTGTAGTTAAATTTCCAGGTTTTGTGTTGTAATGAAAAGTATTTCTTAATCAGTGGTAGTCCATTATTTTATATTTACCTAACTGGGATAAGCAACATGTTTGTGACTTAATGTGTTATGACCTAGGTACGTCGTTTCCGAGAAAGCAGACAAAAAAATACTGAAGAAGAAGATGATGAAGTTCGAGAGGTAATTTTCTTGCTGTTAATTTCTGTACTCATCTTAGTTTGTTAAAATAGAATAACTAGTAGGTTTATTTAGAATAGTCAGTCCACAGGTGTAATGGACAGGAGTGAGCAGGGGATGCCTGAGAATAGCTACCTTTGATTTATTTGTTTGCCTACAGTATTCTTCATGCTGGCATTGCTACTTTTTTTTTTTTTCTTTTGCTGTTGTCTAAAATTTGTTTATATTGTGGGGGCAGGGATACATTAAAAAAGCTCTCTTTCTATCAGAATAATATCTAGTTGCTATCAGAGCATCTTATCTATATAAGATAAATTTTATCCTTTGAGCTTATATTTTTGAAATCCATTTTTTCCCCCTGGTAGTGGAGATTGAACTCAGGACCTCACATATACTAGGCAAGTGTTCTAACCTATTATTTGGGGCAAAAAAGAAGCTTAGTATTTTGATTAGCAATGTTACCCTGGATAAGACTTGGCAGTTTCTGTTGTCCAATCTAAGTGTTAAAATTAGCTTGGCTACAATAATTTTTCTCTTAGTTTCTATCTTTGCAGGTTAGGAACAACAAATTAGCAATCACCTCATTAAGTTTTGAGACCCTACCTAATAGAATTTTGCATTTCTATCTAGTTCAATCTAGTGATTGAAATAGTTTTTTCTTATTTTTATTTTATTTTTTTTTATGGTGCTGGGGATTGAACCCAGGGCTTTGTGCATATGAGGCAAGCACTCTACCAACTGAGATATATCCCCAGCCAGTTTTTCTTTTCTTTTTTTTTTCCTGATTGTCTTTAGTGTTTTATGTTTGCCTACTAGTATTTAAAAGTTACCTCATAAATTATTTACTCTTGGGTTTTGCCTTGATTGCTTTCCATCAGCAGACATTTTAAACAGTTATGGTTCCACTTTAGATAGAAATACAAATTAGAAAAAGGTGTGATCTATGTTCATAAGATTTTCTTCATTTAGTAGCTCTAAAGAAAGTATTTATTGAATTCTTTTTGATAGGTGCCTTACTTACACTATCTTAATTCCTGTTTACAAGTAAGACTGAGACCAGACTCAGGGTCACATGGTGGGGCTAGAGTTTGAACCTGTTTTAACCTTGAAATCTAAATTTGTCCACCATCCTTTGTATTATCAAAGTATTAGGTTATAATAATAGTAATAATAATGCATGACCAATGAATTGCTAAAAACTTATAAAACCATTATGAATGACATCAAAATCACTGTACATAGATGTAACTGCTATGACTTTTATAAGTTCTTTTTTGAAAGCTAAGTTATTTTTAAGAGCCAATAGATTATGGATCCCTTGCTACCTTTTTTTACATTTTACAAGTTGCTCTTAAAATAGAAAAGAGTTTGCCAAATAGCAAAAATGCAGGCTAGAAAGAAGTGTTCTTTTTTGGTTCTTGGATCATCTAGCTTAATTAGGATTACCTCTTTCAATTTAACATATTATAGAAATCTTTCTTACTGTGGGTCCTTTATGTTTGAAGATGCTAGCTTCAATTTTTTCTTAATCTTTTGAAAGGGTAAAAATGAGGACTGGGAGTATAGCTTAGTGGTAGTACCCTTGCCTGGCATGCATGACGTGCTGGGTTTAATCCCCAGCACTGGAAAAAAAACAAATCAAAACAAAAAAACAAAAAACCCTCCACATTTTACATAAGGAAGGTAGGAAAGGATATGACACATTTCAAATTGGAATTTTTCAGAGGAAAGACTTTAATGAGTTTAGATTTTCAACTATATTTCTAAAACTTTTGCAAGTGACCAGGGCTTCTTAGGTGTTTTAGTCCAATTTCTGTTGCTCTTAACAAAATGTCTGAGGACAGGCAGTTTATAAATAGTAGCATCTGTTTAGCGCACAGTACTTGGAGTTGGGAAGTCCAGAGAACATGGTGCAAGCATCTGGTGAGCAGCTGGTGATATCTTCCTGCAGGGTCATGACATGGTGGAGGACATCACATGGTGAAGCACCAAGTGTGCTAGAGAGATCTCATTTTCATAATAAAGCCTCTCTTTTTTTAAAAAAATACTTTTAGCTGTAGATGGACACAATACCTTTATTTTCTTTATTTAGTTTTATATGGTGCTGGGGATAGAACCCAGGGCCTCACACATACTAGGAAAGTGCTCTACTTACAACCTCAGCCCAAGCTACTGTCTTGATAACTCATTTATTTATTAATTCATGGATGGATAATTCATTCATATGTGTAGAGCCATCATGACCAGTCACCTCCTGAAGGTCCTGCCTCTCAATACTATTAACATATGCATTTCTAACACATGAAATTGGGGGACACATTCAAACCACTGGTAAAATTTTCAGCATTGTATACATAGGATATTAAAGATTTTCAGCCTCAGTGTACTATTTCGAACTTGGGTGTTAGAGTTTGATATTTTCCCAAGATGCAAATTCATAGCTTTGTATAATCATTTAGATCAGAATATTAATCCCAGTATAATTGCTTAAATTATTTAAACAAACAGACAAAACAAAAATATTAGTCCTTTCATTTAGGAAAAAAGCATTATACTTTGAAACTCTTGTTCATATGGAAAAAATTAAAAATTTTTCTTTAATTATAAGTTCACATTGAAACAGAGAGCCAGACAGTAAATATTAGACTTTGTAGATCATATGTAGTCTCAATCACATATACTAATTTGTTGTTATATATATATATTTTTTAGTTGGACACAATACCTTTATTTTATTTATTTACTTTTATGTGATGCTGAGGATTGAATCCAGTGCCTCCCATGTGCTAGGTGAGCACTCTATGCTGAGCCACAACCCCTGTTGTTGTTTTTTAATAGCTTTTTAAGAATATAAAAACTTTTCTAAATATTATGCATAGTCCTTAGTTTATCTGATTTCTTAATATTCTGTCTGAATTAGAGTTAGGGTTGGTAATCTCTTTCAAAATGTGATACTAGAAATTATTGGCAGAGTGAAAAGGTAGTCCACACAATGAGAGAACTTATTTGCAAATAATGTATCCATATATCAAAGGGATTAATATCCACAATATATTTTAAAAAGGCTTCTACAACTCACCAATAACAACAAACCCACTTGAAAGAGTGGGAAATGGAATTGAATAGACAATTTTCTAAAGATTTACAAATGTTTAATAAACAGGTAGAAAGATACTCAACATCACCAATGATTAGGGAAATGTAAAAGTCACAGTGAGATACCACCTCACACCCATTAGAATGGCTATTAAGAAAAACACACTTAGAAAATAACAAGTATTGGTAAGAATGTGGAGAAATTGGAACACCATACATTGCTGGTGGGATGGAAAATGATGCAACCAAAAATTAAACACAGAATTGCCATATAATCTAGCAATTCCACACCTGGGTATATAACCAACAGTATTGAAAGCAGGGACTCAAGTAGATACGACAAAGAAGCCAAAGTTAGAAGCAATCCAAATGTCTATGAACAAATGAGTGGATAAACAAAATGTGGTACCTACTTGCAATGGAATGTTGGTTAAATCTTTAAAAGGAATAAAATTTAGATATGTGCTACAACATGAAAACATTATGCTGAATGAAAAAAAGAGCCTGATATAAATAAACAGACATGGATATAGAGTTTCAGTTTGGGATGATGAAAATCTGCATAAGAAAAGTAGAGTTAAAGTGCTATTCAAATGTAATGTTTGATAAAGATGATGATACTGTGTTTGGGCAAAGAGAAAAATGTAGAATTTGGAAATGATGGTTGGTAATTAACTTCAAGAAATAATAATTGTAGGGCTGGGGATGTGGCTCAAGTGGTAGCGCGTTCGCCTGGCATGTGTGCGGCCCGGGTTCGATCCTCAGCACCACATAAAAACAAAGATGTTGTGTCTGCCGAAAACTAAAAAAAAAAAAAATATATATATATATACATATTAAAAAATTCTCTCTCTCTCTCTCTCTCTTTTAAAAAAATAATAACAATTGTAATGGGGCATATGAATTTTAAATTCTAGTTACTGCTATAAAGATCGCTTGGGTTTGCTCTCTCACGATAGTATGAGTGCTTTTATTACCCTCATCCTTGCCCTCATGATATATTACTACGTCTTTTGATCTTTAATTTTCTTTTTGTATAGTCCTTTGTCAGTATCATGTTTGCAAACATTTGGAAGATATCTTTCCTTGTGTTCTAGAACTATTGAAATACCAAGTGAATTATCACTTTGAAAATTTGGTTGAATTTACCTATGAAATTTTTTGGTTGTTCTTTTTGGTGGTGTCATTCTTTTAACAGTATTATCTGATAGTCTGTTGATAACATGTTTTTTCTTGGTTAGTTTATGTTACTAATTCTCCAAATTATGTACAATTGTGTCATAAGTCTTTATTTTTCCTAACTTTTTAAATACTGAATTAGTCTACTTGGTGTGCCCTATCCACACTTCGTTCCTATTTCTACCCTGCATGCCTTGTTCCCTTCTCTTTAGTCCTGCCTCTCGTTTGTGGTACCATAATGCTTAGAAATGCTCTGATCATCTATTAGATTAAGAACTTGCTTTTCCAAGTAAAAAACTATTGTCATAACATCCTGGGATATCTGTATTTGTTTTGGAGAACTCTACACTTCCTGAAGTCTTCTCAGTTTTCTCCCTTAGCCACCTCAAGTGTTCATTGTATTTATTCACTCTGCTTCATAGATTATGTGTTTGGGGTTGGAATTATTTTCTAGTTTTATTGAAAAATGCATTTTGTTTTTGTACTCCTTTTACATTTACTAGTTTAAGCAAAGAGACAAGGCAGAATTGCTTTTATTCAATTTTTAATTTAAAAATCTGTATTAATTTTAGAGTTAGAATATTTGATTAAGTCTCAAACTTATCTTTTCTGGATGGTTTCTTATCAAAATAAAAAAATTGTGGCATATTGTTAGTTCCACGATTTTTATTCCTTCTCAAACCTTAATATGCTTATAGTTGTAAGAGATTATTTATTGTTTCTGTTTATGGAAACAAACATTTTAGAAAAAGCATATTGTATAAGGTATAAGAATAAAAAAGAAAAGATAAGCACCCTGAAATTTCACCACCTAGAGAAAATAACTACTTTGTGTAAGTTTTTTTTATTGTTGTTTATTAAGAGCTCATTCTAAAAAGTAGCTCGTAAGTGTGGTTTTGAAGTAGGAGTTATAGCCAGATTTCCATCTAGTTTTTAAAATTTTGATTCTTTAAATTCTATTTTGATTGGTAAACCTTTTCAAAAGGTTTCATTTTAGGGTAGTATTATAAATTGACCTGACAGATAATAGACATCAAATTTGATTATACTTTTTATACAAATACATTGAATTTTTGTACTTTTATAGTCAGTTAGTGAAAAATAATAAAATGTACAGTTTGACAATATTAACTGTTCATCTGAATGACAAAATTAGTGATTGTCAAGATGCTGCACTATTTTCTGATGTGTGTTTTTCCTGTTACACAGGCCATGAATAGGGCCCGAGCTCTCAGGTGTCAATCAGAAGACCACACATCTGCCTTTAGTGCTGATGACCTCATGAGTATAGATCTAGCAGAACAGATGGCAAATGACTCTGATGATAGCATCTCAGCAGGACTCAACAAAGGAAGAGGCCGAGGCAGAGGTCGAAGAGGAGGCAGAGGGCAGAATTCAGCATCAAGAGGAGGATCTCAAAGAGGCAGAGGTTAGTACTAAATATTGTCTTGCATGCTGCAGACTTGGAAGTTGAGTGGGAAGTAGTACCTAGTATCTTTTGGTCAGAATTGTGTTATTACACGTCTTTGTTTCTGGAACATGATTCTTTAAAAAACATTTTTTTCCTTTTTTTTTTTTTTTTTTTGCAATAGTGGGGATTGAATCCAGGGTCTTGTGCATACTAGGCAAGTGCTACACTTCTGAGCTACATCTCCATCCCTTTTTATTTTTTGTTTCAAAACAGAGTCTCACTAAGTTTCCCAGGCAGATCATCCTGCCTAAGTCCAAGTAGCTGATATTATAGGTGTATACCACCATGCCCAGTTACAATTTGATTATTATAATGCAAAAGGCATTTTAAGTTTTGACATGTACCTTTAACTTAAGTGAATTTTGAATGGTCACCTGCAATATTGAGTTTTTTGTTGTTGTTGTTTTGTTTTGTTGGTACCAGGGATTGAACTCAGGGGCCCTTGACCAGTGAGCCACAACCCCAACCCTAATTTGTGGTTTATGTAGAGTCAGCGTCTCACTGAGTTGCTTGGCGCCTCACTTTTTGCTGAGGCTGCCTTTTTTTTTTTTTTTTTTTTTAATGTGCTACCCTGCTATTGTATTTAATTCTGAGGCTGCCTTTTGAACTCATGATCCTCCTGTCTCAGCCTCCTGAGCCACTGGGATTACAGGCATGTGCCACAACATACCCTGCCAACATAGAGTTTTAATTGTTCTTAACCTATATTTTTTTGAAGCTTTATTGTATTTCTCTCATAGTACATTATGGGTACATTTATTGTCACATTTTCTCTCACATGTGCAAAGTAATAATGAGACAAATATGAATCATTAAGGAAAATGGCTAGGTAATGACTACTTCAGATCATAAAAGAATTATTTTTGTTACTGTTTAAGGTAAAATACCTGCAATCTTATAAAGTGTTCTCCATAAAATTCATTCAAAAAGGAAAATTACCCCCCCAAAATAATTTGATTTTTAAAACCAATTGTTAAAATTATTTTTATCTCTGTATTTAATATACTATTGTTGCTATTGAATAGTCCAGACAATGAAAAATGGTCATCCAGTGACTTCTTAATGTGTTGTTTAAATCCGTCCCTAAAGAAATTTCCTAATTATTTTCATTAAATATTTATTCAAGTGAATTATAAGTTGGCAAAATGAATAGTAATTTAGCTTTAAGTCTTCAGTGAGAGAAATCTCCATCTTCTAGTGATATCATTATCGTCATATTTACAAAATTTTTTTTCTGAAATTTTAAATGGATGAATGTGAACCAGACATAGTCTAAAAGCATTAGTCTAATGTCTGAAAATTGATTGGTCAGACTCTACATTTTCTAATATAGGCCTTTGGCTTTTTGCAAACTTTTTTTTTTTAACCAAGGATTAACCTAGGGATGCTTACCTACTACTCACATCCCCAATCCTTTTTTTTTTTTTTTAATGTTTTATTTAGAGATAGGCTCTTGCTGAGTTGCTTAGGGCCTCACCAAGTTGCTGAGGCTGGTATGATTCTCCTGCCTCAGATCCCAAGTGACTGGAATTACAGTTTTTACAAACTTTTGGCATAACTTTATATAGTTTTCATTTTTTGGTGGTGTTTGAAAAAGCCTTAGTTACTGTTGGGATTGTGTATTGACTGTTCATTATTATAATAGCAGGCAATGCTCTAGAGACTTCTACTCGAAGCAGGAACTCAAAGGCCACTGTGTCAACATCTAGAAATATGTCTATTATAGATGGTGAGTACAGGCTGCAAGTGACTATCTAGCAGAACTTATAAATTCCAACTTAGAAAGACTGAGGAAACCCCTCATAGTAGCCCTCATTTATTTGTATTGCATTCATTACAGTTAAAAGGACTATTAAGATTATAGGATAAGTTATTCTTTAAAAGATCTTTGTTATGCATCAAAACTATTGGAGAGTAAACTTTAATAATGTTTTAAATCATTTCTTTTAGACAAATAGAATTATTATTTATCTTTGACAGAGGGATCATGATTGCCTAGCAAAGTGAAGTATGGGATCTAATTAATATAAAAATAAAGGAGCAGTAAGCTGCCTTGTAAAGAATTATTATCTCTCCCTTAAAGGAAGTTTTTCAGCCTTTATTGAATGGCAACTGATGATAGAGAATGGACACAATCATCAGATCAATTAAAACTCTCTGTTTTATTTACATGTTTTTTTATTGGTGCATTACAGTTGTATATAAAAGTAGGATTTGTTGTTATATCTTTGTACACACACAACATAACAGTATAATTTGGCCAACATCATTCATCAGGATTTTCCCTTTCTTTGTCTTCTCTGTCTTCCCTGCCTTGGTCCCTTTCCTCTGTTCTACTGATCTCCCTTTGATTTTCATGAGATTCCCTACCACCATCTTTCTTTTTTCCCTCTAGCTGCCACATGTGAGAGAACACATATGATCCTCAACCTTCTGAGTTTTTTTTTGCTTAACATAATGTTCTGAAGTTCCATCCATTTTCCAGCAAATGTCATGATTTCCTATTTTTTTTATGGCTGAATAAAACTCCATTGTGTTTATATACCCCCGTTTTGATATCCATTCATCCATTGATAGGTACCTCGGCTGGTGCCACAGTTTGGCTATTGTGAATTGTGCTACTATAACATGGGTATGCATGAATTGCTATAGTGTTATGACTTTAATTCTTTGGGATAAATACTGAGGATTGGTATAGATGGTCATGGTGGTTCCATGCCTAGTCTTTTGAGGAACTTCCATTCTGATTTCCATAGTGGTTGTACTAATTTACAATCTCACTAATAGTGAAAAAGTATTCCTTTTCTCTACATCTAATTTGTTCATATTCTTAATGGCTGCCACTCTGACTCGAGTGGGATGAAATCTCAGTGTAGTTTTGTTATTTCCCTAATTGCTATTGATGTTGAATTTTTTTATATATTTGTTGGTGATTTATATTTCTTACTCTGAGAAGTATTTTTAGTTCATTTGCCCATTTATTTATTGGGTTATTTGATTTTTTTGGTGTTAAGTTTTTTACATATTCTTGATATTAATCCTCTATCAGAAGTGTAGCTAGCAAAGATTTTGTTCCATTCTGTAGGTTCTCTCTTGATCTTGTTTCCTTTCCTGTGCAGAAACTTTTTAATTTGATGCTGTTTCATTTATTAGCTCTTGGCATATTTCCTAAGCCTTAGGGGTCCCGTTGAGAAAGTCATGGCCTGTTCTTGTATGTTGGAGCGTAGACCCCATGTTTTTCTCTAGGAGTTGCATAGTTTCTGGTCTAATTCCTAGATATATTTGATCCATTTTGAGTTGACTTCAGTGCAGGGGAAGAGATAAAGGTCTAGTTACTGAAGTATTATTCAGCACTTTGAAGAGTCTTCTAATATCCTTAGCTTTGATTTCAGAAACTTGTCTTTTTGGCCAGGTAGAGAATGGTGTTCAGAAAGAAGATCTTCCATTTCTGATACCTCAGTTACAAAAGCAAAGAAGGCGGAAAAAAAGAAAAGGCAGCATCTTATATTGTAAAGAATGCAGGCCGAGTTCAACTCTGAATTCAACATGGAAAAGTTTTGTGACGTTACTCAAGTAGGTCACAGTCCTAGGTTGTTCACATGTTAATTAGGAATGATAATCCATACTGTACTAGGCTTTTCTGAACAAAATTTTTGGCACATAGTAGGCATTTATGAAATGTTGTTGTTATAAAAAATGAGAAAAAGAGAGTGAATAAAATATGAACACTTCTATGTTACACCACCAGAAGTTGATTAGCATGTTACAGACAGATGGCAACTTATAGATGGCCTGCCTTTATCTTAGCCCCGATGACCTTTGCTCTGCCTGGCTTACTTATGTGAAGTTTTCCTTGATAGAGTGAATAGAATTAATCATTTAAAGTCAGTCTTCCTCTGTTGTTAAGATATCAGCTGTTAATTAAGCTGCATTCCTTTTTCTTTTTAAGTAATCTATTTTTTTCCCCTCACCTTGTTGTCTTTGGTGTTCTATAGTTTTGTTATTATAAATCTAAGTATGGTGCTCTTTTTTATGCTGCTTAGGGTTTATTGGTTCATAAATCTCTGAATTTGTGTTGTATCATTCTAGAAAAGCCTTGTCTGTTATCCCTTCAGATATTTCCTCATTCCTATTTTATTCCTCCTTCTGTGAGACCTTTTCATTCTCTTGGGGGGAGAGTGGTACCAGGAATTGAATTCAGGGGCACTCGAACACTGAGCCACATTCCCAGCCTGTTTTTGTATTTTATTTTAGAGACAGGGTCTCACTGAGTTGCTTAGCAAATTGCTTTTGCTGAGGTTGGGGATTTTTGAACTCAGGATACTCCTGCCTCATCCTCCTGAGCCGTTGGGATTACAAGCGTGCAGCACTGCCCCTGGCTCATTCTTAATTTCTCTTGCATATGCTATTTTCCTGCACTCCGTTCTGAATAATCGTATCTGATTATCGCCATGACCTGCACAGCGAGTGAACAGTTCTCCAAATACAGGCAGTGGGCAGATTAGGAAAATAAGAAAGTACAAGAAATAAAGATAGGGCTGGAGTAGAGTACTTGCCTCGCATGCACAAGGCCCTGGGTTCAATCCTCAGCACCACAAAAAGTAAAAATAAAAAAAGAAAGAAAGGAAGGAGGGAGGGAGAGAGGGAGGAAGGGAGGGAACTACTCAGGTAAAAGTGGGTGAATCAGCCCTGGTGGGATCTGACTGAACAATGAGCTGAAGTTCTGCATGTTTATCATATAGGTTTTAAAAATCAAAGGGATTCACTATGAAAAGGCTTCTTGAGGTAAACAGGAGGAAGTTTTAAGTAAAACAGCTTAGTTGGGGTTTACCTGTTTAAACCCAACTCTTCTACCTCCAGGCAGCTGGGATTTGAATTCAAGGCTTTTGATCTAGTAAATTCCATGACAAGAATCGAATTCTCCCTATCAACAGGAGCCACTTGGGAGTGGGCATTTCTCCAGGCACCCAGGAGAGGCCTCTTGCTGTCCAAGGTCACATACTTCAAAGCAATGATTCTTTTGCAGCTCTCAATATCTGATCTATATTCTAACTCATCTATTCTGAAATTCTTTTGTATTTTTAGTTAATTGGAATTTTTTATTTTTTTTTTGGTGGGGGAGGACTCCGGTATTGAAATTCTATCTGATTCTTTTTAAATATGATCTGTCACTTTTCATAGTTTTTAAGAATTCCCTGTGGATGTTTTTAGGTCTTTATTTATTTATTTTTTGTATGCGTAGTAAGGACACTTGTTTTATGTTTTGTGTCTATGACTTAATGCCTGAATGTCTTTGGCCTCTTTTGTGAATTCTGTTTCTGTTGTTTGTTATTCATGGTGACTTATTTCTTTGGATGTTTTGTTATCTGTTGTTCCTAGAAAATTTGTCAGTAGGAATAATCAGACCTTGGATGAAGTAGTGTTCTTCTTGAAAAGATTTGTCTTTGTTTCTCCAGACTTCTAGGGCACCTCAAATCTTAGGCCACTTAACACTTCACAGAAGAAGAAATATGAATGGTCAATGAATATATGAAAAAATGCTCAACATTTCTAGCAATTACAGAAATGCAAATTGAAACTACATGGAGATTTCATCTCACTCCATTCAAAATGGCAATTATCAAGAATACAAGTATCAATAAATGTTGGTGAAGATGTGGGAAAAAAGGTAGACTCACACATTGCTGGTGGGACTGCAAATTGGTGCAACCACTCTGAAAAGCAGTATAGAGATTCCTCAGGAAACTTGGAATGGAACCAGCATTTGACCTAACTATCCTACTTGGCATATACCCAAGGACTTAAAATCAGCATACTGTGGTGACACAGCCACAACAATGTTTATAGCAACGGAATTTACATTAGCTAAGCTATGGAACCAACCTAGGTGCCCTTCAACAGATGAATGGATAAAAAAATGTACATATCCAGAAAGGAATATTACTCAGCCCTAAAGGAAAATGAAATGATAGCATTTGCTGATAAGTGGATGGAACTGGAGTTTATCATGCTAAATCAAATAAGCCAATCCCCCCAAATCAAAGGCTGAATGTTCTCTCTGATACAAAGTCACTGTAAAGGTAAAAGTAGAAAAGAATAGAAGTACTTTGGGATTAGACAAAGGGTAATATGAAGGGAAGGCAGGGTGAATGGGAATAGGAAATATAGTAGAATGAATCAGACGTTATTTTCCTGTGTTCATGTATGAATACACGACCAGTATAACTCCACATCATTTATAAGAAGAATGGGAAGTTATACTACATATGTATACATATGTATACTATGTAAAAATACATTCTGTCATATATAACTAAAAAGAACATATAAAAAATATACATATGTATACATATATTTGTGTGAAACAGGTCAATTTAAATTAGTTTATTGTTCTAATAAAATAAAACCTTATTTTGAGATAAATGTAAAGTAATAAAATCATGAAATAATTTTGAAAAAATAAATCTTAGGCCTCTTAAAACTAAATGTACAACTTGAGGGTTGTTGGGGCATGACATGCACTTATGAAATCTTGTTTACCTCTGCTTCTCTCTTTATCAGTTGGGGTGCCAGCTTATGGCGTCGAGGAAATGCCTCAGTCTCCTACCACCGCTAGGCATTGTCTCACTCAGCTTTTCTCTAAAAGCCAACATTAATGTTTCCATGAATGAATGGTTCCTCAGGGAAAAGGACTAGTACTTCTTTGAGTTCTAGCTTTTCTTGTTTTGG